TGAACAAAAGTATGGAACTTAAGCTAAATTGAATTGGCTAAATTACAAAAAGCGTACTTATGCACATTTGCTTAAGGCTATGTTGGGCTATTTGGGGGGATAATTTTTTGGAATGTGATCATCTTGTATATTTAGATTTTACCAAAAGTGGTCCATTCCACAGTTTTAAACCGTGATTCATTCCAAGCAATATTGTTCAAATCATTTGTATATAACTCATACGCTAACTGCTATAGTATAGATTTCACATTGCAAACCAGTTAATAACACTGTGTAATAAATTTATCTTACTACACATATTTCTTGAGGCTGATCTTATTTGACCTCAATACCAGGTCAAGGCCTCAATATTAGGTCAAAGTTCAATTCTTCAATATCAAGGCAAAAGTTAGTCTTAATATTAGGTCGAATTTTACGACCTAAATGTTAGGGCAGAGGTCAAGACCACTATCCGGTCAGAGGTCACAACCTCAATATCCGGCCAAAGGTCACGACCTCAATATCCGGTCAAAAGTCAAGACCGAACTGTTAGGTCAAGGGTCAAAAGTTATACAGATTACGATATTTATTACGTAGTGTTATTACCTCAACAAATAACAGTATTTCATAACGAGTATTATCGTCAATATCAGCATTGAGCCTTTTCTTCATGAATCTGTTTAAATAATATTTATTACATAGTGTTATTACTCCAACAAATAACAGTATTTCATAAGTATTACTCCAAATATCAGCATTAAAATATTTCCATTCTGCCAAAGATGTTTGCTGGACCATTCCGACCATCAATAATACAAAACCCCCATATGAGACCATAATTAATTATTTTATCACAAAGCATTGAATTATATTAAAACCCATTGTTATTGAAAATGATTTTATTTATTCTTATATGTGATATATATTTGTTATTTATTGAACAGTTATTTTTGGTTGTAAATTGATAAATTATATATAATTCTTTACTTTTATTTTAAAAACTCAAATTTTGAGGTGAACAGGGCTCACCTGTCACCTGGGGGTACCTATGATGGGTAATGGGACACCAGCCCGTCCAATTGTAGAAAGGAGAACGAAGAGTCCAAAAGTTTGGGAACCATTTCTAGGATACGCCGTCTCTGATGATGAGTGCATATTAACAACGCGACGTAACTCTGCACTCTACTCTTTGACTAACAAAAAGTGAAATTCCACAATGTTTGAAATTTCAGTTTTATTGAGAATTATTCGGAATTCATCTGCTAGTCACCTGTCGTCGTTTCAGTCAACTGAAGGTCGGGACTGGTGGACTAGGACTGTAAATATTATGGTCCCAGTCTCAGAAGTTCTGTTTATGATTCACGTCTGCCCGAATTCCAGTGTTGTTGATTTACCCTCTGTTACTGGGTTCGTTTTTAAAGAGACGGGTTCGCCATTTTCGGGAGCTGATGCGAGTCCAAGAAAAGACGAGTCGTCATTTCAACTTTCGAACTCCGATCACTTAGGACACACAGGGATTTGAAGGCTCAAATTTCGTCCGTGAGCTGTGTACACTAATACTGGAAAATTTAAGCCAAGTTCATCAGTCATAGTATTCGCCGAGACTAAGGTAGGATTGGGCGACAGAATGGTGAAATTGACTAGAAAGAATACGTTGATAGTCATGCCGTGGTTCCCATCCTGGAGAGTACTAGTACCCCCGGATCTCCTAGCATCCATGAATACCCCAAGGGATATATTAGTAGTTTTTTTTAAACATCATTTGCTTATTCCACTTTAACAAATAGTCCGATATCGGAAATTCTTTCACCCTTACGATCAGCTTTAACTCTGTTCTTTGACTGTAAATTTCAATCGATTTAGAAAATTTCAATTTCAGTTCATTTATCCATTAATTAATCTAATATTCAATCGTTCTATCTTAATGTTCATTTTCTGAATATTTCACTATAGATAGCATCCAATATTACCAACATGTTGCATGAATGAGGGCGAATGATAAACGAAGAAAAAGTTACTTTTTCTCTCTACCTTGATTTCCATTTGTCCTCGTCGAAACAGGTCCTTATTCATTTAATAATCTTTATTTATACTGTGAATGTGATGCCTATGTCTTCATTCATTTATTTATTTATTAGTTTGTTTATTCCTCCGCTCTTTTCGCTCATTTTGTCATAGATAACAATTATCATTCATTCATTCGCCATAATAAATAACACTAATCACATAATGAGTATAATAGAATGAAATTCCTGTTCATTCATTCAGTCATTTATTCATTCATTTATTCATTCATTCATTCAGGCATTTATTCATTCATTTATTCATTCATTCATTCAGGCATTTATTCATTTATTTATTCATTCATTCATTTAGGCATTTATTCATTTATTTATTCACCCACTATCATAATTGATAACACTATATAAGTATATAATAATATGTAATTCTTGTTCAAAGTCCAGGTCATTGACGATATTGTAAACAACATATCCTAGCTATTGGAGCGGTGGATAGGAGGGCGGGACAGGGGGTAGGGGGTGGGGGGGGGGTAAAATTATCAGCCCTCACCCCTTAACAAATTGGGCGTAACTAAGCCTACCAAACAAAGCAGTCTTGAGTATAGCATTTTTTTTACATACTCTTTGTGCTATTATAGTCCACAGTTGTATTGAACTTTATTAGTCCACAACAAACTGAACACTTAGCCCTAATGTTTCTATGAAACTGATGTTCAAGGTTATGAAAATTGATGTGCAAACAATGAAGAAGAATTTCAGAGTTCCAATCGGAAGAATATTTGTGCTAGATATCTATAGATAGATAGATATATATATTGTATTGTTCGCCCTTTTTGGGCAGGATACATCATGATACAAGATAATACATAATAATACCATGATACAAGATAATACATAATAATATCATGATACAAGATAATACATAATAATATCATGATACAAGATAATACATAATAATATCATGATACAAGATAATACATAATAATATCATGATACAAGATAATACATAATAATATCATGATACAAGATAATACATAATAATATCATGATACAAGATAATACATAATAATATCATGATACAAGATAATAAATAATAATATCATGATACAAGATAATACATAATAATATCATGATACAAGATAATACATAATAATATCATGATACAAGATAATACATAATAATATCATGATACAAGATAATACAAAATAATATCATGATACAAGATAATACATAATAATATCATGATACAAGATAATACATAATAATATCATGGTACAAGATAATACAAAATAATATCATGATACAAGATAATACATAATAATATCATGATACAAGATAATACATAATAATATCATGATACCAGATAATACATAATAATATCATGATACAAGATAATACAAAATAATATCATGATACAAGATAATACATAATAATATCATGATACAAGATAATACATAATAATATCATGATACAAGGTAATACATAATAATATCATGATACAAGATAATACATAATAACATCATGATACAAGATAATACATAATAATATCATGATACAAGATAATACATAAAAATATCATGATACAAGATAATACATAATAATAACTATTAATAAGTAATACAAATATTACACACTGACATCAATTAATACTTATACAAAAAAAATAAACAAGTTTGAAAAAAGCAACATCATAACAAAATAATGCATCAACAAATCACACACTGTGATAACCGTAAAACATGTATCAGTACACATGAATACAAAGGCTTGTTATTCAATTAATAACTGTTGTAAAAAACCTGCAAAGAAATCTGTACTTATTTGATAGGTCATTTCGGTACAATATCTCATATAAAACACCCTCATTTCGTTCATTGTTTTATCGCTAATTGTATCAAGTACATACATTCCAATTTCCTATCTATAACAACCAGTATAACGTGTCGTTATTTATTAAATAGCGGACTTCGCAGTAAGCATATTGAATGTCGCGGACCTAGGAGTAAACTCGATGTTTTATTGACGTATGAATTCCTATTGTCACACTGCGAGGATGCGGTGTATCCGACGTTTTGTTACGTACTTATCTTTTTAATTAATCATTAATGTAATTAATTTAATGATCCTTTGTTCGTTTTTTTTTGTCGTCGAAGGAGAAAACTGCGTCAATCGCTCAGAATGTGTTCAGTGTACAAGTCATGTGACTGAGTGAAACTAGGACGCGTGCATGTTAGTTGTAGTCAATGTTGTTAACATAGCCGTTAGTGGGAGTGTGAAGGCGAGCATCGTCTGCAGGCCGGAGGGTTGCCCGCCATCATCATGGATATATCGGATCATTATGAAGTAATAGAAGGTAAAAAAACCGCTTTATGTCCTCTTTGTCACAATGAGTTTCGAGATCCAAAAGCCTTGCCGTGTTTACATACGTTTTGTTTGAGTTGTTTACTTCAATATATCGGTTCGAAACCAGACGATAACAATAACAGTTTTTTGTGTCCACAATGTCGGCAGACGATTTATTTACCAGATGGGGGCGTCTCTACCCTCCCGGATAACACGGTTATACTAATGCTTCAAGACCACCCCAATACACCAGAATCGCCACCTCCATATGAAGACGTATTTGGAGGAAAGGCTTTCGATCCTGAAGCCAGCGATGTGTCCTTCATTGAAAACCCCAGCGTGGCCAAATTGATCCGTAAATTCGGATCACATGGATGCGAGGATGGGCAATGTACTTTTCTATCAGGATTAGCTATAAATGAATATTCTAATGAAATCATTGCCGTCGATTGCTCAATGAACAAAGTGACAATGTTCTCTCTTCGTGGCGAATTTAAACATAGTTTTGTGTGCGATTGTTCCGTACGAGATGTGTGCGTAACGAACAAAGGGACGTTACTGTTGACTGTCAGCCGTTCTGGATCGGCTTTACTCCGGGAATACAAGACGGACGGGTCTCTAATTGGAGTGTTTGGGAATTTCTACTATTATGATAATCCGTCAGGACTAGCATTGGATTCGATCCAAAGGATCATCGTGTCCAGTTTGGAGAAGAACATGATACACATTCTAACCGACCAGAAAAAGACTGCCATCAATTTCGGATCCAAAGGATCGGGACCAAACCATTTCATGCATCCGTATTATGTCGCTGTAAATAGCCATGATGACGTAGTTGTTTCCGATTCGGGGAATCATCGGGTCAAAGTTCACGGAATAAACGGCCAATTGAAATTAATGATCGGATCTCAAGGTCACAAGGAAAGTCAGTTTTTCTACCCAATGGGTGTTTGCGTGGATAAATGGGATAATATATACGTCGCCGACTCTAATAACTACCGCATCCAAGTATTCAGTCCAGAGGGACAGTTCCTTGCGTCTCCGGTTACCAAAACATTCGAATATGGTGCAGACGTGAAACCGACGAATATCGCCTTATATGGAGAAAATAAAATGATTGTGGCTCTGAGAGGTGCCCAATTTTGCCAGATCAATGTTTATCAGTGGGCACTGTCTGCCCATATTAGGAGTATTGGAAGTGACAAAAGTCGTGGATGCTGCAGTCTGTTGTGCTGTTTCCAGTCAGGGGTGGCTTATGAGGATCTGTAACGTTTTTTTCCCCTGGGGCACGGCATCCTTAGGGCCTGTGTGGACTATGCTACGTAGATTTACAATAATGCTAAAGATCCCCTTTTAAATTATTTTCCCATATATATATGATCTTGTGGTTACAGTCTGTAGCAGGGTTATCCTAAGGGACAATCTGTAGCAGGATTACCCTATTAGGACCAATCTGCAGTAGGGTTACCCTATAAGGACCAGTCTGTGGCAGGGTTGCCCTAAGGGACAATCTGTAACAGGGTTTCCCTAAGGGATAGTCTGTAGCAGGGTTGCCCTAAGGGACAATCTGTAGCAGGGCTAGCCTAAGGGATTATCTGTGGCAGGGTTACCCTAAGGGAGAATCTGTGGCAGGGTTGCCCTAAGGGACAATCTGTGACAGGGCTAGCCTAAGGAATTATCTGTGGCAAAATCGTGGAAATTTCAACTTTAATCCCAGAATTATGGAAATATCTTTTGAAAGCACCTGACTTATGAACATTTCATCGCTTTATGTACAATGTATAATGTACAATAAAATGTCTTTCATCAATGTACATCGTTTGTCATCTCCAAGGTACACTACACCAAAATATAAATCATTAGCATCTTAGGATCCCAAAATATAAAAGAAAAGATGGGGTAGGACTCTCACAAGCATTATATATTCCATTCTTTTATTGGGCTTCAAAATCACGGAACCGGATCAAAACGCCATAGTGGTGGGCAATGTAATGCAGTGATATAAAGACATGTTGCCGATATCTTACTCTGAGTTGGCAACTATTATTATATGGTAGTTATTATTGAATGAGTTCAAGCATGTTGTGTCGTTTGTTGTATATATTGATTTTCAAGGCGATGACTATATCCTTTAGAATTGAAATATCGACCAATTGAAAAAACAAAAGTATAATTAAAAAGTATTTATCGATACCGGTACACAATAATAAAATATTTCCACTATTAACATAGTGCTCAACAGGCCTATATTTATTATATAGAAATATATCCATTTCTATTTGTATATAATAAATTTATGATATAAATAAACAATTATATTTAAGTCGGTTTTATAGGAGAGAGATACAGTTGACAATCAAGTCTTAAAAGTCAATCTGACCTCACTAGTGACACAATGCACCTAATTCCTATCTCCCCAGACACAGTGGTTTGATTGGGAGTCGAGGGGCTGGGAAGGGGCCAAGTCTTGGCAAGGGGGGCTCACGAACAATAACAAGTGTAATATCTCTAAGTGAAATGTAACCACCTTTGAATAATTCAAAGCCACACTAAGCAACAACCCCATGCCTCTTTTGCCGGTAGCCAGGCTTGATTGTTCGGAGGGGCAGGTAATATATCCGGAAGGGCAATGGTGTATATCACGAAACGGGTTTTGACATTAAATATGACAGATGGGGGCGTGGTTTGGGCACGATGAGTGTTTAGTTGCAGTAATGGAATTGGTCAGTTGTCAGACTTTTCTCTCGGGGGTGGGAGGAGGGGATCTGCGGCCCCCCTGTAGCTACTGACCCCAGAACAATTTATGCTTAACAATTCTTGATAATGAATAATTCAGTTGAATCTTATCAGCTAGTCAACCCCCAGCTGTCGTGGTATATTAGTTCTGCTGGTATAATTTAATCATTATTCGGGTCATATTGTTTTGTGTTTAAGTAATTATTTCTTCAAGATTTCGGTAAATGCAATGAAAGGGAGTTTGACGTCCAATTTTTCATACTAAATACAAGTTTGACTTTAACTCATCTTCACATTGTCAATCTATTGCAAACTTTGTCTTATACCTTGACTACAATAACCAGTTATTGTGTTACGGAAGTATACAAATGCAGCGATGTGATGGGCTGTATTCGCTGGCTTACAATCCAATCATATCGCTACATTCCCTGATACAGAAAGTGGATATTGTAGTCAAGGTATAAGACAAGGTTCGCAATAGCTTGATATTGTAAGGATGATTGTTATTCAACATAAAACGTCGACTGACTACATGCATTGTTCTGAACACTCTGAACCGAGTTTCGTATACATTTCAAAAGAGCAAAAAAAAAAAACACACTAAGCTACAAATTGTTCTCTTATGATGAATATTATTGCACGTTTCACGTCTGAACATTACGCTGGGTAGGTCGAAGGGGCTGGCACAGAGAAAGCGTCAAGTCGTTCAGATAGAAAATAGGAAAACAAATCGAAGCTGAGATACAGACTGCACGATAAAAACCTGGACAGTTGGAAATAGAGTTTCATGCCGCTGTTCTGAAAAAAATTCCCCCAGTACACCTTGCATGGGCGTTGTCTGTCTTTATTAACCCATTAGGAACAGAAAAGTAGGACGTAAAACTCCATTTCATTACAGATCTGAACGTGATACAAATACGTTGTGTCATTTAGAGGTTTTATGTAATTACATACTTAGATAAGTTGTTATTCAATTTCCGTTATCAGTGATAAATTACCATTTATTTACATGTACATCTCTAAATGACAGTTCAATCTATGTCGGCTAATTCATAGACTGAATGAATTCTGAACATTTTATGAGGTTACCGTCAAATTATAGTGGGGTTCTGCGTCTTGCAGAAGCTGATAGAAACCAGGCCCATACCTACAAAACACATACACAATTGCCCCTTCAAACGATCACGCGCCGGAGAGAAACATTTAAAAATTGGCGGCATCCGATCAATCGGTGGATTTCTTCGACAAAGGGGCTTAAAAGACTGGAGACGACACGGGCTAATAAAAATAACGTCATAGAGTCAATTAATAAGTGATGGGTTCTTGATGGATCTACAAACCTTGTTTCGACCCGAGTGCACTGTAAATACGAAGAATGGTCTCTATTTCACTTCTGGCTAAAACTGTAGTCGAACTGAGCCATTTGGGTCTACAGACAATTGAGTTAATCGTTGTTGCTGTAGTCTGTCAGTTGTGAGGACTGAAAGAATCGCCACCTGAAACTAGAGTACATCTTATAGTTATCTTCACAATATCAAGGTATTGGACACAGTTCGTAAAAGCTTGATATTGTGGAGATGAACTTACGTTTACTTGGTAACAATAGAAATATACATCGACAGAATATTTTACAAGGATAACAATGTAGCTTCACGAGAATCTTTTCCACCAGCTTGTCTTCGACCAAACCTCTTGTCCTTGATCGATAAAGGAAGGAAAGATAACTCATGTTTTAAATTGTTAATTAATGAAAATAATTATAGTACAATTAGCTGACAATGAAGAGCTGTATATGACAATAAAACCTTATTTACATTACATACATATACAGAGAAGAATGGAATTTTTGTGCGTCAGGTTTTGAATACTTTAATTGTAATATAAATTATAACTGAAATGAAGGGAGTTTTACGTCCTACTTTTCTGCACCATGTGGGCTAATGAAGACGGATATAAATTACAGTAATAGATGAAAACAAAATGAATACTGCAGACATTGTGAAACGTTCTTTACAACAAAATGACACAAAACACAACAAAATACATTAACCATAACAATACTAACAAAAAACTTGGAATATGAGCCAAGACAATGTGATGAAAATGATCTATTTAACCCTTCCAACGCCAGTTGTCACACTTCCTGTAACATACATATTATATATAGGTTAATATTACTTAGAGTTCAGGGTATATGACAGTGTATTTTATTTACACTCAGTGTTCAAAGGGTTAACTTAAAAAGGAAGTTAGACATCTACTAATATTTTTATAAAGATGGTGTTATTAGTATTCATATTTATCTCAATGGTAGATGAACAAATTTTCCTGGTAAGAGTTCAAACAATGAAGATATTCACAAATTTAATGAGACGGGTTCACCATTTTTGGGTTTGCAATAACTAGCATGAAAATTGGAGAATTTTCTTCAAATATACCTCAAACTAGCAATTTTAATTTCTGCTATGGATTGATTGGGTCAAATGGATGGCGAGCCTGTCCCTTTAATGAGGAGATTAAGATTAAGATTAGCACTCTTTAAGAAAAAAAATGATTTTTGGAGATTATATCCATTTTTATGTACATTTTGGAATTTATACTTAAAGGGATGGTAAGAAGTTTCTTTAAATTTTAAAAATAAACTTAACATATTATGATCTCAAAAGCTATTAATATCTAAATGCCTTATAGGCATGGTCCTTTCAAAATGATGACACTATGGTGAAGGTCCTTAGATTTAATTTGCATGTTTCGTGATAGTGACTTCATAAATCACTTGGTTTCAGTGGATATGCAAGAACCACAAACGTCGGACTAAAAATTTGAATAGTACAAATCAATGCTAGAGTACAAAATACCTCTTTACAATCCCTTTAAATATATTCTATAATTTGTTGAGAACTAATGGCTATAAAAAATGGCCGTGGCAGTTTTAGCTTTTGTCCAAATTTCAATATTTTCATCCACTACACATCATACAATCATCTTTGTTAGCCAATGAACAAGCAATAGCTGCTACGTTGTCTTCCGCCACCTGTGTTTCTGGGGATGGTTTGGTTTCTTTTGACTTCAGTTTGGTTTTATCTACAGTGAATTTGATGGCGTTGGCAGCTGGTTTTGTTCGGAGGTAATACATTCCTGTTTTCAAACCCTGAAAATAAACATTTTGAAATAAAATTCCATTAAAGAATTTTGACACTGTTTTTGGCAATTGACATTATCAATGTCATTTAATGTCACAAACAAAATTTATTTAAGGTGAAAATAAGGCCTAAGGACAATCAATTACAGAATTTGATGGAAAAAACAAAGGTTCTTTCAACTTACCAATTTCCATGCATAGAAATGCATGCTGGTTAATTTACCATAATTAGGTTCCGCAATATGAATATTCAACGACTGACTCTGATCAATATAAGCTCCTCGATCGGCGGCCATCTTGATCACAGTTTTTTGGCTGATTTCCCACGTTGTTTTGTACAAGTCTTTCAAATCTTTAGGTATCTCATCTATATTCTAAAATTAAAAAGGGATACAGGTATATATCTGTGTTCTTAGTTGGAACTAAGATTTGTTCTTAATTGTATTGGATTGTTTTTCAATTGAAAACTTTACTTAAGGAATGCCAAGTCGTTCAAAGACTAGTATTGTAAAAACTGTATAAAATTTAATAACAATATTTGGTGCGTGTTATACTCTAAATTATACATTAAATGAACAGCTTGGTGTAAATATATAGATAACAAACCTGTATAGAACCACCTTCTGATATGATCCTATTTTTCATGTCATCATCCCATAATCCTTGTTCTGTGAGATCTTTCAATAGATGAGAGTTCACAATCTAAAATACACAAAATGGACAAAATTTATATTCAAAACTCAAGTTATGAAGATATTTGTACTCCTGGCTGGATAAAATTTCTCAAACAACCTAAAAAAAAAAAAACCCTTAGTTTATAATTGAGCTCTTCCAATCATGCATATAGTTTTATAAGGAGTATACATGTGTGGAAGAGTTCATATAACAGAAAGGGTGCGTCGCTTGCATTGGGAAATCAGGTTGAAAAATTCTAAGTTTACACCCTGACCTATGCCAGGATTGTACCCTGGACTTATAATTGGTTGAGCAAGAGCCAAACTTGTTGAACCACTGAGGCCTGATTGTCACCTCAAAGGCATTGTTACCATTCTCACAGAATCTCACGTGCAGTTATTACGTCATTAGCAAAAACTGTCAACATGAATAATTCCAAAAAATATCACCATTAAAGGTATATTTACCTGGAATTCTCCAGACAGAACTCTTCTGGTATATATATTACTGGTATAGGCTTCTATAGCTTCATTATTACCAAGTATCTGAGCTGTAGAGGCTGTTGGCATCGGCGCCATTAATAAACTATTTCTTACACCATGTCTGCAAGTTAAAATATTCATTGTCATAAATTTCAAAAAACTTATTTTATCAAGTATAGATTAACTATGATGCCATCTCACAACTTCAAACATAACTCACATCAGTCGTCTGATTGGTCAGTCACTAAAATTGATTTTAAATTCAGTTCTATTATCCAATCAGATTTGTGCATTTCTAAAATTCTTGATTTTACTTTAGTTATATTTGTAAAAATAAAGCACCTGGAAAAATAATGCATGTTTTTGTACCCTACGATGATGAAAGTATTTTCCTGATAAAATGAATACTAAAGAAGCTTACTTGGCTATTCTAGCTCGTAATGATTTCCAGTCTAATGTACCAGATGGTTTCACATCCCACATATCAAACTGTAACACCTATAACAAATATTACAGATATTAATACAGAACCTGAAACATGTTACTCAAGAGTTTAACATTATAAGAACTTCAGACAACTGATCAATTTGACAGCTGTATTACATTTCAGAACTAAAACATGTCTTAATACCACAAACCATTAAGAGAGTCCACACAAAGCAATAAAAAATGTTCCTACGTACCCCCTTGCTGACTGGAGAACCTTTGTAAGTTGAATATGCCCCGTCTTTCTCGGCTAGTTCACAACTGGATTCTAACGCAGCGTAATAAATATTCTCAAAGATCAACTTATTTAACTCCTGGGCTTCCTGACTCTCAAATGGATATCTCATTAATATAAAGGCGTCTGCTAACCCTTGGACACCCAATCCGATTGGACGATGTCTCATGTTGGACTTCTTGGCCTGAAAAAGAAGAGTGGTAAGCAATGAAATGGAATGTTGAGTTTTACATCCTACTGTACCACATGTCCAAATTCCATGTCAGCCCCTCCAACATACATCACTGACAGGGAGAAGACCAGACTGAAAAATCTGGAAGCAGTATAAGCTGACTATTTCTCCATTTTCAACTGCCGAGGAACTTTTAACATGGTCCCATTTGAACAAAGTCATGCAGTATGCAATGATGGAAAGTCGTTCGAACAGCATTTTACATCAGCCAAAGATTTACAATAATTTATTTCTTATCCCATTGCAATCAAAGCATAATAATTCGATTTTGTTACAAAACATTTAACTCACCTCCTCTACAGGATAATAGTTCACATCAATAATTCTATTCAGATTTTTGACAATAACTTTGGTAACTTGTCGCAACTTTTCAAAATCGTACGTTTTATCAGGTTTAACGTACATATTGAGAGCAATGGAGGCTAGGTTACATACTGCTACCTACAAGGGAAAGACGAAACTATTAAAATAAGTCACACATAAGCAATTACATGTGTAAATATTTACTTAACCAGTTGAATAAGTTATATCTATGTACGCAGCAACAAATTTTGGTGATGTGGAAATCATGTGATATATTCTATTGATTTGATTGGTTAACACTTTAGCATTTTTTCTTAATCTAAAGAATTAATGATGTTAATGTTCCAGTCATCTGATTGGTCAATTACTAAAACTGATTTTCAATTTAGTTTTATTATCCAATCAGATTACTGTATTTCTTAACTTACAATCATTTTAGTATTCCTGTAATCTGATCAATCTGGTCAATCACTAAAGTTGATGATAGATTTAGTTTTATTATCCAATCAGATTTCTGGATTGAACTTAGTTAAATTTCAAGAATAAAGCCTAAAGGTTTGTTTTGTCTTCATAAAATCCAAAATGGCAGCCATACCTCATCTGGAGCGCTGTATTCCACTATCTCTGTACAAAGGTTACTACATTTGATAGTACCAAGGTTTTGTTGATTTGATTTTCTGTTACAGCTATCTTTATATAACATGTATGGTGTACCAGTCTCAGTCTGAGATTCTATTATAGCATACCATAGTTTCTGGGCAGGGATTGTCTTTCTTCCTTTACCAGCCTTTTCATAGCTAAAACACAATACAAATCATTTAAATTTAGAAACAGTTAACCAAAAATATCTCTTAAAATCAGGCCCTTGATAAGGAAAAGACTGGATCTACCTTGATTAATCTTCACAATGTCGAGCTATTACAAACATCTTATACCTTGACTGTAATAGCCACGTTTCTTGTATCACAGAAGTTTGTGAATGTAGTGATTTGGTTTGATTGTATGTTAAGGAATACAGCAAATCAAAGCCCTTGTACAGTTATAAGTTTTTCTGTATAGGCCTCTGATTGGTTGTATTTGCTTTAATGCTGCCTTGAACAGAGACTGACGCAACAATATATTAAAATATATACCTTTCATATAGTTTTTCGAATTCTTCACCCCAGACATTTTCGAGGCCTGGACATTCCCCTGGACACATCAAGGTCCAGTTTCCATTGCTTTCCACCCGTTTCATAAATAAATCAGGAATCCACAGGGCATAGAATAAATCTCTGGCTCGCTGTTCTTCTTTACCAGTATTCTTTTTTAAATCTAAAAACTCGAAAACATCTGCGTGCCATGGTTCAATATAGATAGCAAATGCTCCTGGTCTCTGAAATAAGAATTTAGAAATTAGCTCTACCGATATGTATTAAGGCAAATTCTGACATGTGCTTTTGTAATTTGACTGAATAGGGAAGTTATCTAGACAGGTTTTTGAAAAAAAACAAAATGTACGTACCTTGTTTCCCCCCTGATCTACGTATCTGGCTGTATTGTTATAAACTCGTAACATTGGTATTAAACCATTAGACATACCATTAGTCTGAAGTTAAAATACATCATCAGTAAATGATCTTCAATTTTACACATCTGTACAACATGGTACCAGCAGATATTTCATTTTCAAAGACAATTTTGGAGAGAAAACAATCTCTATAAGAAGTATAGAATACTTACCCCAGCAATGTAGCTTCCCTTGGCTCTAATACAATGTACATTCAACCCGATTCCACCTGCCGATTTAGATATCAAGGCACATTGTTTTAACGTATCGTATATACCTTCAATACTATCTCCACTCATAGTCAATAGAAAACAACTACAAAGATAGTAAGAACAATATTTTACAAGTATAACTATTATCACAGTAACAAGTAGTATAGGTGAAAAGATGTATCTCCATACCCATGCCACAATACGCGTATCGTATCAAGTGATCTCGTATCAATACTTGACAGCATGTCTTATTCCATAAAAAAGTGAAATAGGTCGAGATAATACCCTCGGATTTTTTAACCCGTTTCAGGTAAGAGGGGATGACATGGAAAAAGTGTCTAGACAATAAACCGAGGCCCCTGAGCTATAGACTGTGCATGTAAAAGATCCCTTGACAGTTGGAAATAAAAAAAAAAGCAGGCTAATGCCGTTATCCTGGCAAAATTTACATAATTGCACCGTTGCCCATCTTCAATAGCCAACTCATCTGGTTGTAAAACAATTTTGTGTCAAATCTTTAATGTTCATTAAATCAATTCTAAAAGACTAAACGATGCCAGTTTAGACAATACTGATTAGAGAGAGATAGTTGTGTAAAATACCTGGATAATTGTGGTCGTCTGGTTCCAGCGTTAAATAAAGTAGGAGAAGCATGAGTAAACCATTTCTCTGATAATAAATTATACGTCTACAATAATAAATAAACAAACTTATTATACAACCCTTTGAAAAAATATACCCAATTCTTCAATACCAATTACTATCCTGTGTGTTATACTTTTAGCCATTAAGTTACACTATACAATTTGTTTTCAGAATCTAAGCCATATTTGAGAATATTTATAAACTGCATTATTGTAAATCTTATATCCATCGACAAGATATCATATAAACTAATTAGAAGCTTGCTTGCTGAGTTTACGGAGTTATTTTAAGTTTCATAACCACAATAGAAATGTTATTCTTGATCTATCATATATATCAATTGAATGACAATGGAAAAGATAAAATATTACGTTTAAAACCCTACCTCAATAGCACTATCTATATCATTATGATGAATTCCTACAGCAACTCTCATTAACATATGCTGTGGTCGTTCAACAACTAAAATATAAACGAAAAATATACATGATGTCAGATACCAATTGTTAAAGATTTGTTCCCTTATTTTCATCTACGAAAATGCTAATATGAATAGAAAGTAGAGGTGTTCTAATGACTTATAAAAATACCAGTTTGTTTCACATGTCCATAATTAATTCATAATTAGCTAAAATGGAAAGGAATTACTAGCAGAATTACAATGAGTGACCGATCAAGAAAGGTAAAAAAGTTTTTTGTTTATCCAGACTGTACATACATGGACATTTATGATTGGTTAAAACTCTTAATTATATGCAATAAGAACATAATGATATGATTAAGAATACATGATGATTAATTAGAATCACCAATTAATGAAATACTTTGCTTAATTTAACACTAAAAAATAAGGATACCCATCTTTAAGGACTTGCATTATTAAGATTCAAAATCTATGATAGTGACTAATGCATGTCCTGGAATGTCTAATGATGTATTCGTTCACCAAAACTAATACCACACTAGTACTAGGCCAGAAGATTACCAACATATTCTTACAATTATTTGTCAAATAGAGACATCAGACTTACCTTTGCCATCAATTTTTAGTAAATAAGATCTCTCAAGAGTTTTAAAACCAAAATACTGGTAACCAAAATCTCGGTCATAAATTATAGCAGAATTCAATCTCTGAAAGATGAAAATGAAAGAAAGTTTCAGAAAGTGAAAATAATCCTAAAAGCAAAATTTATGGGAAGAGATCCCATTATAATAGATATGCAATTTAATGATATACTACTCTCAGGTATAACTTACACAATATTTCAATAATTAACATTGTCACCACCATTTCTCACTAACACTGAAATCTTCAATTTATCTTATGTTCAAATTTCAAGAATAAGGCCCCAGGGGTGTATGTGATATCTTTTAAATTTCAGATTCAACTCACCTCTGCATTGTCCATGATGATTTTATGACATTCTTCAGAGATCATAGGAGAATGTTTTCCAGTTTTAGGATTGATCCAGTTAAAAATATCATCCATTACCTCTAAAAATATAGAAATAATCAAATCATCAATAAAGCTAGCAGAAATAACACTAAGTGGCTGCTACGCAAAGAAAATCAAGGGATATAACTCCGTTAAAATGTGTCAGATAATACACAAATTCTAACTCGTCCAAGATCTCAATGATATAAACCTACACATCAAATTTGATAAAATCCTGAAAAACGTGTTGCCTTTATTACTTTTGCCACTTTTAACATATTTTCAAAAAATCAAAGGTTGTAATTCCGTTAATATTTCTAGAATCATTCAAATGTAGAGACTCTTCCATGCTCTAACTTACCACTAAAGACTTTTTGGGTCTCTTTATGTAAATTAGACACAGCAATTCTAGCAGCGAGTATAGCGTACTCGGGATGTTTGGTTGTCATGGTAGCAGCTGTCTCGGCAGCTAGATTGTCTAATTCTACTGTAGTAACACCCTGATAGAGACCATTGATAACTTTTAATGTTATAGCCGTCTGAAATAAAATGATACAATATCAAAATGGTGTTCTACATTCTACATTTCTGCAATGTGGGGTATAGTCTTATTTCCTACTGTAGATGGATCTTTATTATGCATAGTCTGTAGCACACAGGACCTCAGTTTAATCAATACTAGACACTTTTTCCATGTCAGTCTCTCTAACCAGCAGCTCTTACAATGGGAAACTTAGTGGAAAAATCTTAAGGTTTTATCTCTTGGAATGCAGGATTTGCACACTGTTCCCTGAACCTTGAGATTAGCAAGAAAGCACCCCAACTCAATTAGCCACACAGGCTTCTGATTTATAAATGCTGCCATTGAAAGGGTCAAATTTGCATTAAAATTGGCGAAAGAAAAACTTGTATACTCACTGGGTCTACAAAGTCCATATTTAAACCATAACATAGTTTGACAATTCGTGATGTTATTTTATCAAACATTACCTTCTCTGTTCGACCATCTAAAAAAATATAACATAGTGAAATGTTAGATTAAAACTTAACCCTTTTAGCACTGGCAGAGGCCCTTTTCCCCACCAAATTACGACATACCTGAGCATGAGCAGCCAATGAAACTACTATTAGTGATGTTAATCATACTCTATGTTTCATTATATGGTACTTGGAGTGTGGGGTAAGGTATTTGATATCATTTAATTCATATATGTGGGATGGGGGAGGGGAATTTGTGAGATAATTTATTTCATTTATACTCAAATGTACACAATTGGTGACTAGTTTTTTGGGGCCAATTTGACTTCTAGGGTCGTTTTGACCTCGGGATATTATGGTTAAGTGACCAGACTGATAATAACCGCCAATTTAACATATATAAATTGCCCAAATCAATGCCAATCGGATTAACCTAGTTTGAGGCCATTTAGGATTATAATATAGATGATCAAAAAGAAGTACTAATTAAGTAGATCAAAGATATACGGTGTTTAATTGATATCATTGCTTAGGCTTCCAGATTCTTATTTGTTTTACACCCTGTTTTGGACAGAATTAGAATAAATGGAGCGCCAGTGCGCCAGTGCAGTGGGGTTGGCCAAGAATTTAAATTCTAAACATTTTCTTTTTGATTTTCCTCAATCAATTCTATTTTGCTTTTCTTTTCAAGCAAATCCATTTACTTGGTAAACCAAAATAAAATTATACTCACTTCGTTTGACGACAAACATTTTGGCGATTTCTTGATCTTTCTTGTTAGAAGATCTTCTGACTTCAACTACCAACAACAAACTGACAAAGCTTGAAACTGGCGCGGAATATGCCTCACGTGATCAATTCCCCGCGCTATTTTGTCTTGATTAACCCAGACAGATTTTTCCCGTTGAAATACGTATGTTCGTTTTAGTCTTGGTTATCATGACAATATTTCCCGCGCTATTTGTGTCACAAACAACAGGACATACTGTACTTTATTGGTTTCAATAAGTCGTGAACATCCAAACATTTATCACATTGACACTGATGTAGACTTCGTTATCTAGCCATTCCCTTTGTCCTTGCATTGTATATCAAGCGTGTGGATGGTAAAATCAAAAGACGCCTTCAGTCTTCATTTCGATTTGTCCATTTTGAAACCAAACAAATTTGGAGCGTTTTTTTGGCGACAGGAAAATACTGTCAAGTTACGTGAAATAATTTTTTTCATTAAAATGTAAGTTTGTCACAATGATAAAATGGATTAAGCCGACATATTAGTCTGGAGAAACAAATTTGTTGAAGAATAAAAAGTACCCTCCCCTCTCCCCTCCATAACAGACATTGTTGAATAAGAGATTTTTTGCAAATTCCCTTTAGAATAGAAACCGCAAGTGACTTGATACACATAAAAAAAACACACCCAAAAACTTGTTCTGAATTTCTATTTCGAGGGGTCAAGTAAACCCTGAATAAAGCCATTTAAAGAACTGGATCCACTACTTCCAGCCTATTGAAGGGAAAAATCTATCACGCTTTCACACGGAACACATATTCAAGGTTTTTTTTTACATTTTAAGCGTAAATTCGGCCTAATTATTTTCAATTAATTCTAAAAATGCTCCAGACTACAAATAAATTTTAGCTTTAGTTAATGGTCTGAATTATTGTATTTACCTCCCTTTGTGACCATCAAAATGCAGAAAAATAAATGACTCGTATGTCTTGTTGAGTAACCTCGGGGTGATACTCCGACGCGAACTCTGAATAGATTTGCCAGAGTCATAAATATATCATTTGGTTGAAGTTACCGCCGTAATGCCGTCTGTCCCACCTACTAATCCGTTAATCCTCTTTGTATTTAATCCAATCTGTGATAATCTCATTAATGATTGCCGGAGATTATTACCCTGTGACGTCATACCTGCTACCTAAACCATAAACCCCGGTCAATATTAGATGTTACCATAGCTACTAATCTTTACTCGAACCTATAAAACACTTGAGCCTAGTTTTGCAACTATCAACTTCTCGTCTGCCACACAAATAACAAGGTTCAGGAAAAAAATCTTCTTCGTCAAAATGAGAGAAATCGTTCATATGCAAACTGGCCAATGTGGTAACCAGATAGGAGCTAAGGTAAGAATTGTTCTCAAACATTAAATAATAAGCTACAATAGGCATTGAAATGAAAAGACAAAATCAGAGAAAGTCCCCCAAAAGGACAGAGCAGAGAATCCCGTCTTTCTTAGAATGCTTGAACAAAAAATGATACAGGCACGCTCCAGAAACCTAAAACTTGTAGTAGTTGAGGTTAAATTCAATGAAATCTTTAGTCTTGGACTCATGGAATCAGCCCAGGAATAGCCCGGTCAGAAGCGAGATGGATTGTCATCTGTTAGGCGATTAGTCGTCCGAAACATCTACCTCTATTCTAGCCTCTGATAGATGTTTGACAACTTTCAAAATATCTATCAGACTGGAATAATGGCAGATGTTTCGGTCTAGGCGATTAGGTGCGGTGGGTTAGAATTTTCCTCAAGTTATACCACTGCCAGTGCTTTCGAAATTTGACCCGGTATCGCCCAAATAATTGTTATCAGTAGGCTTAAAAAGTTATCGCATAGATACCTAAAATGTGCAATATTTTGTTTCGTTTCAGTTCTGGGAAGTGATCTCTGATGAACATGGTATTGACCCAACTGGAACTTACCACGGTGATTCTGATCTTCAGTTGGAGAGAATCAACGTTTATTATAATGAAGCTACCGGTGGTAAATATGTACCCAGAGCTGTTCTTGTTGACTTGGAACCTGGTACCATGGATTCTGTACGATCAGGACCATTTGGTCAGATCTTCCGTCCAGATAACTTTGTCTTCGGACAATCTGGTGCTGGTAATAACTGGGCTAAAGGTCACTATACAGAAGGTGCTGAATTGGTAGATTCCGTTCTGGATGTGGTCCGTAAAGAATCTGAAAGCTGTGATTGTCTCCAGGGATTTCAGCTGACCCATTCTCTGGGTGGTGGAACTGGTTCTGGTATGGGAACTCTCCTCATCAGTAAAATCCGTGAAGAATATCCAGATAGAATCATGAATACCTTCTCTGTTTGTCCTTCACCAAAGGTAATTAATAATGTATTTCCATTCTTTTCATTCGCAATGACGAAACTTTAACAATTTTGCATAAGAAAATCAGAATACACCTGTATTCACACAACTAACTGGGATCCACCTGAGGTAGCTCATAGCCGACAAACTTACCTTCGCTGTTTTGAAGACAATACATGAGCATCATGTTCTGTCGCCAACTCACAAGACCCAGTAATGTTGGACAATGGTTGCTCTAGAGTACATATTTAAGAAATTTTCGTTAATTTCAGGTATCTGATACAGTTGTGGAACCTTACAACGCCACCCTCTCAGTTCATCAACTGGTAGAAAATACAGACGAGACTTACTGTATTGATAATGAAGCTCTATACGATATCTGCTTCAGAACCTTGAAGCTCACCACACCAACCTACGGTGATCTCAACCATCTGGTATCAGCCACCATGTCTGGAGTAACCACCTGTCTCCGATTCCCTGGTCAACTCAACGCTGACTTGAGAAAACTCGCCGTCAACATGGTACCTTTCCCTCGTCTCCATTTCTTCATGCCTGGGTTTGCTCCCTTGACCTCCAGAGGTTCCCAGCAATACAGAGCCTTGACTGTTCCTGAACTCACTCAACAAATGTTCGATGCCAAGAACATGATGGCTGCCTGTGATCCTCGTCATGGTCGTTATCTGACAGTAGCTGCTATGTTCAGAGGTCGTATGTCCATGAAGGAGGTTGATGAACAGATGTTGAATGTTCAGAATAAGAACAGCAGCTATTTTGTTGAATGGATTCCCAATAATGTTAAAACTGCTGTCTGTGACATTCCACCAAGAGGTCTGAAAATGTCTAGCACCTTTATTGGAAACAGTACAGCTATTCAGGAACTCTTCAAGAGAATCTCAGAACAATTTACTGCCATGTTCAGGCGAAAGGCTTTCCTCCATTGGTATACTGGTGAAGGTATGGATGAGATGGAATTTACTGAAGCTGAATCTAACATGAATGATCTGGTATCTGAATATCAACAGTACCAGGATGCTACAGCTGAAGAGGAAGGAGAATTTGATGAAGAAGAAGCCGAAGCTGATGAATAAAGTATATGAATCATTCTAATGGTATATTGATTGGCTATTGATGTCTGGCTTTTAGATAACGACACAGGTTTTTAAACGAGGGCAGCATTTGCATTAGGTTAACGAAACTGGCTTTTGGATTACGGCACTCGCTTTGCATAACGACATTGGCTTTTGGATAACGACACTGACTTTGCATAACGAAACTGGCTTTTGGATAATGAGACTGAACAAGGATATTGGAAAATGAAAATGGCTTTTGAATAACGATATCGGTTTTTGGCTTTTGAATGATAACACTGGCCTTTAATATTGGAATAGGCTTTTGGATAACGATATGGGTATTTTATATGAGTAGCGTTTTATACCAACTGTAAATTTGTGTTGTATGTGTGAGATTTTATCATTGTTTTTTTTTTTATTTGTGACATTATTTTCTTGCATATTATGTATCTTTAAATAATTGTATTTACGGATTTCCTTTGTAGTCTGTTGCCTCTAATTTATTTGTGTGCTTTTTACTTCCTTGAGATTTAATTTAATGATTTATTTTTCATTTCATTTTGGACGACTTTGGTATCATTTTATTTCACAATATATTTTTATTTTGCTATCTTTTATTTATTGGTTTGCTTTGTATTTTTATTGAACTTATTAAAATTAAATTTGATTTTATGTTTTAATGGTTTCTACTCTTTGAATTATATGAAAATCAACCAATGAAACGTTGTGATTTTTGGCAACGCCAAACATTCAACATATGAGGACGTTTTGCCAGACAAGTACCATAAGCCGGTTTTCGATTTCCAGCTTTCGGGGGAAGGTTGATTGCCTACCCTGACCAATTCTATAACTGCAACTATATACACCGTTGCCCCTCCCGATATATCACTTGCCCCTCCGAACAATCAAGTCTGTCTACCGATCTGCTAACTACTCATTTTGAAGGTATCCCTGAAATCTTTATGAGTCATAAACATAACTTTACATAATGAGTTTCAATGGTATGTCACCCAACCCATACTTTAGGTTTAGGTCACACGCATATGAACACAAAATTTCCTAGTTTCTATTACCTTTTGAAGGCACAAAAGGCGCCATTTTGGCGATTGCTTTGAGTCTTGAATATATGTAAATGGTCTTCAGGAGTGCTAGAAATGTATGAAAATCGCATAATTCCTTTAAAAATATCTCATACCAGGAATTTCTCAGTTTCTCCAAAATCAAAAAAAAGTATTTTATCTTTTATCGAAAACGCGGATAATTCTGGACACACATGGATTTGAAAGCTCAAATTTCAACGGTGAGCTGTGAACACTATTAGTGATTGGTTTAGCTAAAAATTCCCGTTTCTGAGACGGATGCTAATCTATGGGGAGGGGACGAGAAAGAAAATATACGTTCTCCTTATTGAGCTTTTATACTCTATGTGGTGCTCAATGAGATACATTTTGGCCTCAAAGTATCAAACATCGAAGAATTCACGAGAATTCATAAAAATCACAACAATGGGAAATTTTAAAAATGTGCATTTTGTCGTGCAAGCCTAGGTATGTTGTTATAGTTTATTATCAATCGTCAACCAATTATTATCAAAAATATGTTTTATTTCTAGAAAATACGTCATATTTCATCACCTATGAGTCACCGGAATTTTCTAGTTACTTAATACATTAAAGGGATATGGTTACAAATTTTTTCTTTTTTACTCTTAAATTTTACATAATTTCAAAAGCGTCGTCTAGTTGTTCGGATAGGGCAATAAACCGAGGTCCCGTGTGCTACAGGCTGTGTACGTCCAAAATCCCCAGATCCGGTAACACTGCAAGGCGTTGCCCGTCTTCATTAACTCATAAGGTACAGAAAAATATAACTTCATTCATGCCATTTTTTAAATTTCCAACAATATTATGCTTTTGTTCGATAATTCTATTTTTTAAGGCATCATTCTTGTTCTATAGTACTAGTTCACTGATCATAAGCTAGACCGAAACATCTGCCTCTATTCCAGCCTCAGATAGCTATTTTGATAGATATCAGCTGTTGTAGAGATAGAAAAGCTAGGCCCTGCTCTATGAAGATTATCCTCACATCCGAAGGTATTTGATCTCTTGATCTAAATCGGATCCGGAAAATCCCGTTATATATTCGGATAGATGAATGTAGTTCATTCACACCATCGTTATCCCAATTAAGCATTTATGTCACGCTAGCGAAAGATCGTTTGAAAAAATATGTAATATCACTTTCCATGATGGAAATCCAATGATCGCCCCCCCCCCCCCTCTCTCTCTCTCTTTGCAATTAGCTGAAAGTGTAACATTGTCACTTGCATACAATTGTTATATATGACGTCATAATATGCAATATAGACCTATGTTACATCAAGACCTAAAAAAGACTTTCTATTTCCTAAAGGAAGAAAATAACTTATTCATACTGAACATGTTTTAAAATTTCAAAAGGTTATTTTGATAGGTTGCGTTAGTCATAGCCTTGTTATTTGTGCTTTCATGGTTTAACCTTTGAGTGCAGACCTGAAAAACTTACAAAAAAAGTGCAAACAAGGAACTCCGAGCCGTGGCAAGGATCGAACCCATGATATTTTATTTTTTGCATTTTTGCGTTTTATAATAAGACAATTATAACATTTCTATAACATTATAGCATTTCTAATAAATTTATTATCTATAAAATACATGTACATAAATACATAGCCTACATTGGAAATATTAAGATAGCTTGCAAGGCAAGGTAACATACGCCCACTGGTAGCTGTCAGAAATTATAAAACAGTCTTTAGTGACTAAAGAACGGGTTATAGAAGAAATAACCCAGAAACTGTTCATCAAGTTAGAAGTTATCAGGGATCAATTCCAATGATCACACCAAGTTTCATCAGAATCGGTTGAAAACTGACAAATTTCGACGCGTTTTAACAAAGTTAAGTGGAATATCTCAAAAACCGTTCATCGAAAATATGTCAAATTCGAACTTGACCGAAATCTTATCAATCTAAAGCATCACACCAAGTTTGATCAAAATCAGATGAAAACTGTAGTCTCTATAGTGCTCACATATTCATGTGGGCGTATAAAACAGAACCTGTTGTTACTCAGTTTCATGCTTTGTGATCTGCAGACCTATATTGACCTATATCGTTCAACTTGCATCCTACTGAAGTTGGACAAGTCGAACTCTACAATTCTCATGTCAACTCGTCAAGGCGTTTGTTTAAAGATGTGTTCTTGGGGGTATTAATGATGGAAAGCTCTTCAGTTAAACACAGGTCACATCGTTTGGTTTTATTTGTGTAACTGCAGGGTTTTGCGGCTTTCCATCCGCATAAAGAATGGATTTCAAGAAGGGATCAATGATTGTTGATTCATGGCTATACAACAAATCCTCCTGAAAACCACAGAACTTTGGCGTTTCATCACCACTTTCAATAACACCGGGTCGTTCTTCGAAGTCAGAAGTAATTGACGAAAATCCAGAATCATAAGATTGTATATAATCTGATATTTCTTCAGTCTCATTTACCGTCGATACGACCGTCGGTATAATACGCTTATCTCTGACAGGACGCACATCGTGCCTGTTTGATTCGACGGATTCATATCCCGACTCCACAGATTGCTGTCTGACCGGAAGCAAGTTGTGTTTGTTTGATTCGGTCAATTCCACTTCCGATTTGACCGTCTCTTTAATACGTACTTTTCTGACAGGAAGCTCATCGTGTCTGGTTGGTTTGATCGATTCATATCCCGACTCCACAGATTGCTGTCTGACCGGAAGCATGTTGTGTCTGGTTGATTTGACCGATTCATCTCCCGACTCCACAGATTGCTGTCTGACCGGAAGCATGTTGTGTCTGGTTGATTTGACCGATTCATCTTCCGATTCCACAGATTTTTGTCTGGTTAGATGGTTGTAATCAGTTCGCACAGGAAATGGCGTACAATACGATCTTAACTCAGTTTTTGGAGTAGATTTTGGATCAGAGTTGAATTTTGTCTTGCACTTTTTTCGGAGAAAAACACAAATTACAAATACACATACGCTAACGATAACGATGCCTACGATTATAGGAACAGTTACAGAAGTCCGAATTTTGGGTAAATGATTTAAGCTTGCGACAAAAACAGTTGTCCGCTCAACTGAAGTCAAACTGGATATCTGTAACGGAGAAACACTGCTTACATCTACAATAAACAAAAGGAATAATATTGGTGAGTGACTTTTTCCACCTACAGTTTTAGACTGTCCATGGAGAAACGATAGTTTCCTGGCAGCTATTTATAACTATCATAGAGTATATTATATGCTATTGGGAGTAAAACGCCCGGGCCATAAAAAAAGAAAAAATGTATTCAACTTTCACTTCCAAAATCGCGTTAGATTGATTCTACAGTAGAAAATTTTCCATGGGGCTTTTGACCTCCTCACCATAACTAGTTCCTTCTAAAATCTGCAAAGGTATGTCGTGGTGCTCAGCTCGTGTGTTTTTTTTTCTTACATTGAAATACACGAGTGTAGCTGAAGGCTTTGTTGTCATATTATAATATTCGACTTATTAGTCGAGGAAGAGATTCAAAATGGCAGTGTGTTATTTCCATGCAAGAACCATGCGTAGTTTCATATGAACTGACCGATGACATCTTAAAATTTCTTACCTATCTCGATTTCATGCACACCAACGTATGGTTGAACAGTTACAGGCATGCACGTGTAATTTGGGTCGTTCTCTAGACCTAAGCATTCATCCACCTGGAAAGTGTAGCCAGGAAACTCTGGGTAACAATATGAACATTTGGCACAGTTGGCTGTATTTTGTTCCTTGTAGTAACCTAAAATTAGACAAAAACCAAATGGATTCGAAAAAAATCTAGGATTCTTACGTTTTAGATACCAAAAAATAAGCTTATTTCAAGTGTTTTGGATATAGAAATCAAATATGGGACTCGAAGCTTAAGAGCTTAATTAGGCTACTGATTAATAGAACGCCCTTTTGCCCACGAATTATTGCCATGATGCCAAACATAAGTCCGTATCATAGAACTTGATAAGCCTGCATTATATATTTTACCCGGAAAATGTTGAAAGGGACCTGCCATCTGGCTCGAGATCAAGATCGTTTTGCACCTCTCGCCCCTTTATGCCAATTTTATGAATCAATGGAAATATCCTTTTTCGAATAAAGGTATTCAACAACTACTAAAATCCCCTAAAGTTTCTCAGCCATATACGTCTCAACTATTAATCACAATGCGGAAACTTTAAATGGAAATATACTTCCTTTTTCGAAACTTGATGCAATGATAAATATATACAATGCGCAACTTAAGTTCTCGAACGTTGTCAGGAGACCGAAACATCAGCCTCTATCCCAGCCTCTGATAGCTATTTTGAAAGTTGCTGATAACTGTTAAAATGTCTATCAGAGGCTGGAATTGAGGCGGGTCTCTCGGACTATCCTGCATAGTGTCCAGTACGAAGTAGATGTTCGATGTAGGTTACGACAGGGAAGTTAAATTGGAAGAGGCAATTGTGTCCGCATCATGTCCCGGGCCCATCCATACTATACCCCATCTTCCCGCTTCCGGCTTTATACACCACACTCTTTTTTGGACACCTTCACAATGCATTATTATTATATTTATCCCATATTTCAAAAAGCACCACATGTGCCCTAAGATTCCAGAGTGTGATATATAAAGGCAAATATGAACATACAAACCTTCCTTGCAGTCACCGCAGATGGTATTTGTTGTTGGACTGCAGCTTTGAATCTCAATTCTGTTTCTATAACACACATGACAGGCTTCGCAATAGGTCTTGGTATTTTCTTGATTCGAGAACGATCCTCGTCGACACGTCATGCATTCCGTATCAGAATGGTGTCCGCATGTCTTGGATACCTGCTTTCCTGGTGGACATTTCGAACACGGCACACATGATCCGTTTTTCGAGTACGTATCTTCAGGACAACCGCATGTAGTGTCTTTCGTCTCATTACATTCTGTGACATTTGACATTCCGTAATCGGCACAATCCGTACATCGAAGACAACGCGAAGAATTTTCACGAGCGGAATAACTTCCTGCTGGACATTCCCTGCACACAGTATCCTTGGACTTGCTACACGTTTCGACAACGTACGTTCCTATTGGACACTGCGAACAATGGTTGCATCGACTTTCTTGCAGATGCGACTCATTGTTATCATTTGTCCAACAGATCAAAACAGTGCTGTTGGTATCCTGAAATAAGGATTAAAAACTTTAAGAACTCTCTATGAATTAGGACATAATATTAGTATAATAGGGCCTCGGCATAAGTTGTGAACCATTTTGTTTTGTGTCAAACTTTTAGATAGGTTTTCTTCTGGAGATGGAGGTCCGTGGACTTCAACAAGTCCCTATGATGGTGGAGTCACTAGCGTTCCGTCAGAAGATCGGTCAGTGTGATCCGGACCTTATCTTTTATGTTGGAAGAGTTCTGTTTGTACTACCACATTATTTCAAATTAAATTTCAAATTCAAATTTATTTCTGTATATATTTTTTTTCTATATTTTTCATTTATTTATATATTTACAAAAAAGGGAGATGAACATAAATTAAGGATTCTTTTTGACCAGAATGATTTTGTTGTTGACTAAAAATACAATTCTAATCATGGTATTCCCCTATATATTATTTTTATTTTAATATGCTGAGTAATATCTATTATAATATTCACAACAAACAGAAAATAAGTTTCTATATTGGTTATATTGTCTACGTTGTCAGGAACCGTATTGAATTTTTGAGTTATATTTTTTCGCTTGTGTCAGCACTGAAAGTGTAATTTTGAGATAGGCCTACCCGTATCACTTTTTAAAAAAACAATACGACATTCAATTCGTGATTACTTTGCTTTATTTTACTCGCTCGTGTCACACTGAATATTGTATATAGTGTTATTCACAGATTGACCTAACCGTATTACTTTTCAGAAACAATACGACATTTAATTCGTGTATCAATTAGATATAGGCCTATTAGCTTCCTTTGCTTAATTAGCTAGACTGGGAATGTACGTAAATTATCTATCGTCGCTTTAGAAGAAAAAATGTATTAGAAAATTAGTTTTTTTGGAATATTTATTATTATATAATAAATATTTTTGGAATTTTTGTTTCGCACCTATGCTTCAGCTAACCATTTTTTTTTTTAAAGTTGAATACAATTTTCAATGAAACTCATTGACAATCCCGACACGTCTACTCCCGTTAACAGGAAATATTTGTGGTATTAATGTTTCACGTAGCCTAACAAAGTGCAGTATGATTCAAAATGGCGCAGAATGACTGGGCTTCCCGTTATGATTCCAAGTTTCAACTTTTGGTAGGGCTCTTAACTTTGCGATTAGAAAAGAAAACGAAAAACTTCATAAATTTCATTCACTATTTAACAAACCACGAAATACAAATATATCATATAAAAGCCATTGGTTTGATCACAATTTTGCGAATTAATGTCTAACACTAATATTATCTTCTAGCTCTCTCACCCTATAACCACACCTTAGACATGCACGGACAATCCCTTAGTTCGAGCTAAATGTAAAGCTCCTTTACGGTGTGGTAGCACCGAGGGGCGGAGGTCAAGTCTATCTGGTATCTATTATAATTGATGACACGAACTTCGCCCACTCAGTGTAAAGCGAACTCAACCTGTCTACTACTGTACTTCAAATATTTAATAATCTCACCTCTGTTTCGGTACAGCTGACCAACTGGACAATCAATAATCCCATTGTTAAATTTAGCTGGACAAATATAAGCCACATCTTGCTTCCTCTCTTGCCTACCCGGAAAGAAATGATATATCTAAATTTCCATTGTGGGATTTCCAAAGTTCTATTTATAGCACATGGGGAAAGTACAGAAAATACGATTATCAATTACCTCGACTTACTTAATTAAAAAGGCCACAAAAAACCTTCAAATGACAATTAAAGCCATTTCTAAGCCTTGAATTATTATTGAAAGTGAACTATGTTCATGTGTGTTATTTCCATGTAAGAACTTACTCAGTTGATAAAACTGGTCATGATGATGTTAGGCCTATTCTATAGCTTTCATAATATTCTGTGCAAAGTAATTTTCTCCAACCTAAAAGCACCGAGCTGGGTAACTATAGAGACCGTGTATTTCAACATGAAAATAATAAACCAATTAAAAATGAATACTCTTTACTGAAATGTATCCACAAATCACTGTATTATGTGGTTTTATCAGCATAGCCTATAAAAGAAATATCTTATCCCAATAATATCCCGGGAAATTCCGCTTTTTTTGTAGGTCAAAATTGTTTTGCTCGAATTTGTGAAAACTATACACCAAAATCTAGAGAAATGTGTCCTTTAACGTATCTAAAAAAAATCCAACCGTTGATTTTGAATCGCCAAAAATATTTAAAAATATTACGTAAGGTTTTTTAGTTCGTTATGCTTTAAAGCTGTTTATTTTAGAGAAATATGTTTCCTACGTATTTTAAAGGTTTCAACTAAAATATTGAGCCAATATAAAGCACAACACCAAAACTAGGTATTACTAGTACATTTAGTACTCTCTGTTTTTAATTAACCCTTTTAAAACAAATTCAGTTTGATCAAGAAGATACTATGGATACTTTATTTTCAGGTATAACTTACGGCGTTTTTGATTATGAGACTTTATAACAAAAAAGCGGGATACCCCTTTAAAATATCATTCTAGAATTATTGGTGTAACATGTTGGTTTAAGGCTGATTTTTAAATCCTTTAACAAACCCCACCCTTTCCAATTTGAATGGATATTGGTGGCTCGGCCATCATACTGGATGACTGGTGTTAGAAGATGATGAGAACATAGTCACATGAAAGCACTGGCCTAGGTCACAAAGTGCGAAACAGATTATTAGATGTACGCCTACTTACATACGTTTATTGTGCCGTTAAGGGTCCAAACTAATGATTACGTTTCTCTTTGACTGCCAAGTTTTAGATTATCGTCAAGAGTGAAAATATTGCGCATGCCATTATACATATTGACATTTCTAAGTATAGCTCGTTATAGAATATGACTATTCACAATATTCATAATGACTAATTTGTTAAAAGCAGACCATATCCAGATTTACAGACCCGTTATAGCTACAGGGGGAAAGATCCCCCCTTCTCCTGGAGTATCAAAAAAGTGGTCCGGCCTGGTTATGAGTGTCCGAGTGTTCATTGTTCCCAGTTTGTTTTGGTCCGAGTTGTCCTGATTCCGTTATTTTAAACCAATCAAAATTGTGTTACGTAAAACCCGTTTCTTGAATTAATAATGAATTGTGGGATAGTCAAACCCAAAGAGGCTGTAAATTTGCTTATTACATAATAATTAATATTTTTTTTTTATTAAGAAACGGTTTCTACCGTCTACACAAACACAATCTGATTGGTTTTTAAACAGCTACCTTTGGTATAAACTTCTTAGATAAAAATGGACTAAATTTATAAAAAAAAAGACAAGAAAGATATGGAATTGTAATCTAATCATAAAAAGATTGAATGTAGGCCTAGTCTAGTCTTTTTAAGGAATTTTAAGGTTCGGCCCTTTAAATAAAGTGTCGTGCATGTTTTTGGGTTTTTTTTTGTAAACAATATTTTCTTTATTATAGATAAATGGTACAATGTATAAAATATATATAAGCGATACAGACAAAAGTATAGTGCTTATTCGAATCTGCCTCGCTGAGCGAAAATTCAGACATACACAATTAGTTATTAAATCAAAATCCTTGCCGCGTATTCACGAAACAATCTTAGCGCTAGGATGTCCTTGGTTCTTATCTTCTAACATTGATTCTAGAACATCCTAGGTTCTTATCTTCTAACATTGATTCTAGAACATCCTAGCGCTAAGATCGTTTAGAGAATATGTGTCCTTATTTATAAAAGCAATAATATGGAGAGTGTGGTTATAGATTAAATGGAGTGGTAAGAGAAAGAGATATAGACAGAGATTATCGCATATTGTGTAATTCATAGCAGAATGACATTTGTGATTATCGTGATGGTAACTCCGGCTATAAGACATGCTTTTTATCATGTGGTTAAAAATGGACCATAGGCGCGCCCAGCTTACTGTAATAAGTCTACCTTAAAAAGAGGAAGGGCATGTTGCGTAATCTATATTACAATATCCTTTATCGTCATATCGTGACTGTGTGCATAATTACTTACTCATAAGAAAAAAAAGCATGATACTGCATATGACAAATTGAGTAAAAATGGACTGGAGTCATGCTCAACCGCATGTGATGTGTTTTCTCAAAACGTCAAGAAAATTTGAGAAATATTAAAAACATATCTTTAAAGTGCTTAGCGTGTCCGTAATAAGTGGGATATCTCGGTCGGTTTAAGAAAAAATTGAGTACCTCTGACTATGGTCGATAAGATCTTTTTTTTTATCAGTTTCAAGACCACATACCATAAGCCTCCATCTCCCGCCCCCATCCACTCCAGACATACACTCCGAAAGTCCCCAATCCGCTTTCCACAAAAATTCAGTTTTAGCGTTGGTCACTAACACAGTTCAAGGGGAATAACTCCATTTAACTCTTCAACTTAGAGGTGAGAAAAGCCGTCCATGAGTAAACAATAATGGTGGTTGAATGAAATCACCGAAGTGTAAAAACTGCCGTAAGCAGCGATTTTGAATTGGTGTCAATCATTAAAACCCTCCTCATCATTTATTTGACAGTTCGACACGTCTGCTGTGAGAATGGGGATCATCATCTCTCTTTTTAAAGCGATTTTTGGTGGCCTTTTTTCGTCAAAAGATGGAACCAAAAAGTAAGTACAAAAATTCAAGAACTTGTTATTTGTAGTCTTGTATATTTACTTTCCATTTCTGGAAATAGGCCTACTGATAAAACTTAACAGACACTGGCAGTTACATGTCATGTGGTCATTTAACATTCTACTGATTCTTTTTTTGCATTATACAGGCAATCTGACTTTCTCTGTCAAACAGGAAGCCTACTGTCTAATCTCTTGCTCCAGAATTGAATTCCAACTGTCTTTACAAATTTGATTCGGGTATCACTATGGCCTTACAGTACCAGAAGCAATAAGAAGACATACTTTGATTGGTTTGAAATAATGTCATTAGAACAGGTCTTTGGTATAAAACTTGTTAGTTTACAGTGGAGATGAAAAAACAGAAAAAAGAAACAAAATTCCAGTGTATTTTAAATGAAATTTAGTCCACAAATCTATAAATATGTGATATATTTAAGAAGTTAATATCTGCAGCCTGCTTTCAATTGCTTATATTATCACATGTTGATAGAGCTTGAAAGCCAGAAGCGCTGACAGAGGATTCAGAATTTTCTGTAACTATATTTTGTAGAAGTAAATATGAGGTAGAAGATGGAGTTACGCTGTTTAGTACAGCTCTAAGCCCGTGCGCTAGACGTGTTCGAATTGCTCTCCTAGAAAAACAGATTCCTTTTAAATTGGTGGGTGTTTTCTCTATTTCCCTAGCCAATTAGAAAATGCAAAAGTTTGTAAATGCAGCGATTTGATTTGATTGTACGCCAGCCAATGAAAGACCAGTGATTTTATTGGATTGTATGCCAGCCAATGAAAGCACAGTGATTTGATTGGATTGAATGCCAGCCAATGAAAGCCCAGCTATATGATTGGATTGTACACCAGCCAATGAAAGGCCTTGAAATGAATTGCCTAATCAACCAGCTGCACATGTTATTGTTGACCGTATTCACGAACGTACAATCCAATCAAATTGCTGCATTTACAATCTACAACGATACAAGAAAAGTGCCTAATAATGTCATTAGATTTAAAGACCTACATGTTTCTACCTACAGCTTTATATAGTCAAGATTATCAATAAAGAAGTTTAGCGCTCGAAAATTTGTTTAATCAGCTGATAAAGCTTAAACCGAGTGCATACAATTTTTCCCAATGCTGAATGTTAGACAGGTGTGTTCACAGGTATCTGAAGTTTCCTAAATAGAATGCCACTCAATCACTAGTAGTTTTTTATTAGTGTTACTAGGTCTATTGAGAGGCTACACATTACATTTGGGAAACATCATTGTGGTATATTGGACCTAATTCTGACCCATATAAATAAAGAGTTTTAAAATTGTTATCAATCTACAATAAACAAAGCTGTGTTTCGATTAACGATTTCCGTTTGGCAAGGTTACATCTTGAGCTGTATTGAAAAGTTTTTTAAATGAATGTTTTATTTTAGGTTGAGATAGATTTGTTTACTGGTGAACAGTTTAACGAAGAATTCACGTTCGTCAACCCAAATAGAAAAGTTCCAGCTATCGCTTTTAAAAATGTAAAGGTAATGACAATTTTCTCTATTATTTTAAATTTATCTGAGAAATCTAAGAAATAAAATGCAAAGGTCTTTTTAGATGATGAAATGTTACAAATGATAACAAAATAGGATTCATCTAACCTCTGTCTGTCAACCCAACTATATATAAGTACTGATTAAGTCCTTATTTCTTATTCCAAGCCACCAAGCTGTAAAAGAGTACAAATAATCCAGGAAAGATCAGTGCAAAGAAGTTTAGTCAATGACTAGCTGGTAGACAGGATTCTTGTAAACCTAATGGTCCTTTGTTTCTTGCATTCTAACTCTAGGGAATAGCTGATGGTTTTTACAGCGAATCTAATGTTATAACAGAGATACTGGACAGCATATCACCAGGTCCTAAACTTTATTCTTCTGATAAACGAGAAAGAGCAGACATCGTCCAATGGCAAGACTACGAACAGAGTATAACAGATGTAAGTTAGTACTTTGAGGGGTAGCGTCATCGAAATATTTGCTTTAAAAGGGACAGGTGCACCATTTTAAAGGGGGTCGATTTGAGTCTTAAATATATGTAAATAGTTTTCAGAAGTACCAGAAATGTACGAAAATCGCAGAATTCCTTCAAAAATATCTCACACTTGGAAGTTCATTTCTTATTTCTTTAGATGTCCTTTCTATATACGGTAGAGTCTCAAGAAAAGACGACTCGTCTTTTTTACTTTCCAACGCAGATAATTCTGGACACACATGGTTTTGAAGGATTGCTTAGTTAAAAAAATCCTGTTTCTGAGACTAAAGTATGATTGGTCAAAAGAATGGTGCAGCTAGCCATTAAACAGCTGTTCATCTTCACAATGTCAAGCGATTACAAACTGCTTCTAAATTCTAATATCTTTAGTATATCAAGGAAGTTTGTAAATGCAGCAATTTGATTGGATTGTACGCTAGAAAATACATCCAATCAGATCTTCATGTGTAAAAACGGGAGCTTTGATGTCATAATATCTGTAATAAATAAACCATGTAACCATGGCGAAAAAATTGATAGCCAGGAAGGAGGGACCACATACGTTTTTACAGACCATTTTTTTTATATTTTATTTTAGGATTTTGGACTACTGGTTTTTCATAATTTGCTGTGTTTTGTATTACGAATGGTTTTCAACGATTTAGACGACCTAGAAGAGAAGACAAAGAATTTTCCTGAAACTTTTAAAGCAAGAGGCATAAGGTATTATTAGTTTATTTTCGATTTGTGTTGAACTCACTGATTATGTATATGCTGTCAGATTTAGATGTAGGGAGTTATTTTGTTAAAATTAGTTGTTATAAAAATCATAGGAGTTCACCTATTTACCTCACCTCAATGCAAATGTATAATCATTTTATTAGATCTTTAAAACTGTAAGATCAAATTTATAAAAGTTAAGGGACAATAAACCAAGGTCCCAGGCTACAGGCTGTGCACATTACAGACCTCTAGACCAATCAAAATTAAGTAGTTAATACTTCTTTTTTTATTATTTCCAGTGCATATAACAGTGAAGGAAAATCTGAAGACGAGATTAACCAGCATTTTATAGCTTGTTATCAGAGTCTACTTACACTAGAACGTGGCTTACAGGGCAAAAAATATCTGGTTAGTTCAGCAATAATTTGTCACGCAAACATTATTAGCAATGTGAACTCTCTGAAAGGAATACTGGTTGACATTTTTATTTCTATATTTAGGTTGGAAATCGTTTCACTGCAGCTGATCTGACAGTTTTCTCCAGAGTTGACATGTTTCCATTGGTTGGTATGCCAATAATTCATAAACATTTTCCAAACATTTCTCGCTGGTTAGAGTTAATTCGCAGCAGGAAATCTGTGGTCGATAGCGAAGATTGGTGTACAAAATTTCAAAAATTTCTGATAATTCATTTCCCCTCCATTTTTGTCCTGATTGGGAATTGTAAAAGTGGACAGAAACATCATAGAAGAATGGATGGTGAACTGGTTGTAGAAAGGTGGGCATTTTACATTTATTTTGTTATCCCATACCATCCTTTCATTCACCACATTCCTACATTCCATACCACGATTTTAGTTACCCCCATAGAAAGTTAGTGAGTCTCCACAGAGCTGCCATATTTTGAATCTCAACCTTGACAGTTGTCCCCCCACATTAAGTCAGTGAAGTATGTGAACTCCCAGTCTCAAGTCTCAAGAGGCTATCACCGTCACTGATGTGAGTTTCCCAATTTCAAATCCTTTTGACATTTTGAAATATGTATCTGTGTCAGACTTTGGGAAATATCAATGGGTAGGGACAATCTGGGAAAGATCAATGGGTAGGGACAATCTGGGAAAGATCAATGGGTGGGAAAGATCAATGAGTAGGGACAATCTGGGAAAGATCAATGGGTAGGGACAATCTGGGAAAGATCAATGGGTAGGGACAATCTGGGAAAGATCAATGGGTAGGGACAATCTGGTAAAGATCAATGGGTAGGGACAATCTAGGAAAGATCAATGGGTAGGGACAATCTGGGAAAGATCAATGGGTAGGGACAATCTGGGAAAGATCAATTGGTAGGGACAATCTGGGAAAGATCAATGGGTAGGGACAATCTGGGAAAGATCAGTGGGTAGGGACAATCTGGGAATGATCAATGCTAGAAGGATTTGGCAAAGACCTTCTAGTAGACAGGATATTTCTTTTCCAAAAACGATTTCTTTTGTTTTAATTCATCACAATGGATGTTTCAGAGCCATAAGCGAAGCCCCCATTAGTACAGACATAAAGTCTCTGGATGATCAAGATGGAGATGAAATATTGATCACCTATTATCCAGTCTCATCCAGTTCTTTTCAAATTACTCTTCTGTTAGATATATTAGTAAGTGGATTTTAAATATTTTATCTCTTTTAAATAATTGCATGGAGTTTTACATCCTACTCTTGACTCTTGTGCACCTGATTGAGTTTATTTAGATTGTTAACACCATGCAGTGTGCAATGAGGGCAATTTTGACAGAGCAGCAGCATTAGTTTTCTCTTTATTGATTTCCAACTGTCTAGGGATCTTTAACGTGCACAGCCTGTAGCAAATGGGGCCTCTGTTTATTGTTCCATGTCAGCCCCTCTTACCTGCTTCACTGACAAGGGGAAACTTAGTTGAAAAATATTCAATATCTCGACCTATGCTGGGATTGAAATCAATCACTTTTTTTCACTCGACTTTTACAGCATTTGGACTATAGTAAGAAGAATGGTCATGTCTTGGATTTGATTGGTCGAGCTGCTGGGTCAGGTGGTATATACAACATTTATCATAAAAATCAACCAATCAGAGGCATGCAAGCTATTTTAGAATATATTTGTAATATGGGCTCAAATCCAGGTAAATTATGAAAGTTTTCAAGAATTATATTATATTTTTGTGGTAAAGTTGAGGCTTTTGTTTGAATCAAGACATCTGACTGATAATTGGAATGGTGAAATGAAACGTGAAAAATTTACAAAAACTCTTATCAATCCCTTTAAAGTCCAAGGAATCTGATTGGCCAACATCATCACTGAAATAAAATCAGCCAATGAATGATTACTATTTATTCTTCCTTAAATTTAAAGGGACTGTATGAATTTATATTTGGAATAATTTTTGAACACATATCTTTATAGACTATAAATAAGCAGTGGCTCAACTACTAGAGACTGGTTGAACCATGGGCTCCCCCCCTATGAGGCCCCACCCCCAGAAAAAGTACAAAATTGAAAAAAAGTTATCAAATTTAGTTAATATCTTAAGGGTTATGCTGTGACCCTACCAAGGGCATTAATTTGACTTACTGAGGTGTCTCAGAATGCAGGAGAGCATGTGTTAAAAAAGATTCCCGGGGGAGGGGCTCAACCCCCTTAAGTCCCTGATTTCCCATTCCTCTAGTTTGGGCCACTATAAATTAGTTCTTATTTTAGATTTATATCCCAAGTCTCCTGAAGACAGAGCGAAGGTACAGATCTGGTTAGGTTGGGAACAAACAATGTTTACTCAAGAGTTATCCCCCTTGATAGAACGAGATATATTGTCCAAGGTGTTGGTATTACGTTATGAGAAACATTTAGATGATTTGTTACAACTCAGAAGCAATCTACAGTATAAAAATAAATTTCAGAATATTCTCAAGTGCTTTATGATAGGGTAAGTGGTTAATATGCCAAATAAACAATTTTAGCCATGTGGACTCACTGAATGAGATGCTTTGTTGACAAGCATATAGGTTGCAGAATAACTTTTGAGACGGTCTTTTAGACTTTTTGCAGGTATAAAATAGCTAGTTTTAGCTTTGTGAACTCTCTGAAAGGAATCTTTGGGGTTCCAAATCGTATAGATTGCAGAATAACGGTGTTACTGGCTTTTTTTTGTGTACCTACTGACAAATATATCAAATTTTAGCCATGTGGACTCTCTAGATGGGATGCTGAGTTGAAAACCCATTTAAATTGCCCATGACAATGACATTGGCTTACCCTTTTTGGGTTTTTCCAACTGTAGCAGATGGCCATAATGTTTTTTAAATTTTTCAGACTCCCAGAGAAAAGTGAATGTTGGAATCAGTTAACAGAAGAATATGCTGAATGTGTTCCTGATTTCGAAGCTGTAGAAAAACAACGTAAAGGCTTGTTTCAACTTTTACATCTTCGACTTCAACACTTAGACAACACACTTATAGTAAGTTGGATTTCATCTATTATCATTGCTGTGTCTTGGATATGAATTCAAAGCTGTTCTCATTAGGTAGTTCTGTTACTGTCTCGATCTTTCCCCGGATTATTAGTACCCATTTACAGCTTGGTTGACTGGAATAACGAGGAAAGATGACTTATTCAAGGTCACTAGATTTTCACACAGACTGAGATTAGTTGTTTCCAACTCTCACACTAACTGTGCTACAGAGCCCCTCATTAGACTTTCCTAATCTGACTGAGATTAGTTGTTTCCAACTCTCACACTAACTGTGCTACAGAGCCCCTCATTAGACTTTCCTAATCTGACTGAGATTAGATGTTTCCATCTCTCACACTAACTGTGCTACAGAGCCCCTCATTAGACTTTCCCAATCTGACTGAGATAAGAACCCACGACTACTATTTGTTTGACGTAATCAATCAAAGGTTAAAAATTCCAACTCTCTAATCTACTGTTTTACAGCCCATAATCAAAAGCATCTGTATGTCTGGGAATCGGCTTGCTGGGTTTAAAATTATCCAGTCACACATGTAGACAATAATTTGTGTGGAATGGTCGTATAGTCCAAAGTAGTCCAAATCATCCAGACGTACATTTTCTTTCTTTTTCAGCATCAAGATTATTTAGTCGGAAAGACCTTGACCTTGGCAGATATCTGTGTCTTCAGTAGACTGATGTTCTTCTCGGCAATTGGGATGAAAATATCAGCGCAGAAATACAGTCATGTGACCACCTGGTTACTTCTGCTCCAATCAAAAACAAGCTTTTCTGACATGGTTGATAATTTGACCAATCAGATCCAAGCTTTGACTCTTGGTCAATAAATCAGATATATGCTGTTTATTCTTTATGTTGTTTAAGATTCTTTTTTTCTGCTCTACGTTGGTGCAAATGCAGTATGCAATGAGGAAAACTTTTCCTGGACAGCAGCATTAGCATTATCTCGTTCAACTTTCCAGGGATCTTCAGCGTACACAGCCTGTAAATGGGTTTCTGTTTATTGTCCCACCTCTTTTCATTTCATTTATCCAATATTGTACAGAGCGCTAGGATGTAAAACTACATACAAGTTAATTTAAAACATTCCAAAATGGTGGATTGAATCTCGAAAATGATTATTTTATAAATATACAAAAATATTTTGAAAATAACATCATTATTAGTGTTTCGTTTTTAATTACCTTTTTTTTTTGATATAACCACTGCAGTTAAGGTCTAACGACAGCCCTGTTGAATGTTTGCTAAATTAACACTTTGTCCTAACCTGATCAAAACTGTGTCACAAAATGCCAGCATTGGAGAAGGTAGAAATTTGATTGGTTAATTTGATGAACGTTCAAGAGGGCCGTCGTTAGACCTTGACTGAAGTGGCTGTATTAAACATAAAAGCTAAAGATAGACAAAAGTTTGTTCTATGCTGGGTTGAGGTGTCATAGAGTGGAATTAGGTGCTGAGAGTGCACAGAAGGCTACTTACAATTCCATTTTTTTAATTTTTTATAATATTGCAGTAAACGATTAAAAAGTTCTTTAATAATAATGACAATGTAAATTGTTGAAACGACGCAATAAAGTCTATTTTTCCTTTTTTTTTGTTCATGCCTCCTAAGCAATATCCCTTTCTCGACCCCTGTCTAATTAATATTTAACAAAAGTGAAAGCCCTAAACAAAGGTATCGCCACAATTCAGTACTTTTAGACTGGGTAATGACTACTTTCTATAAGATTTTAACCACATTTAGAGGCGGAGAGAACATAATATAACAAAAAACACTAGAGATTATATTATGGTATAACACATGTCTTTAATATCAAAGTACTCTGTTATAAAATATTTCCTGGTGAATTCTGTTATATGACGACTTTCTAGTCTATTTTCTCGATTATCCAGAGGTGCTATAGAGCCCATTTGGTAGATGCAACTAAACACATTTCATTTCATGTTCATTTTGGATTATCCAGAAACGATTAACCCAGCTCAAGGAAATTGAAAGTAGAAAAAAATTGTTTCTTCTTCTTGTCTTAAGAAGTACTAGAAATGTACGAAAATTACATAATTCCTTTAAAATATTTCAAACTAGGATTTTCAAACACTATTTCTATATTTGTCTTTTCAACGAGTCGTCATTTTAACATTCAAACGCAGAAAATTCTGGACACACGTGAATTTGAAGGTTCAAAGCTCGACGGTGGGCTGTGAATACTATTAGGCTAATGATTGGCTTAGCTAAAAAAAAATCCAGTTTCTGAGAATTAAGTATGATTGATGAAATAAATGGCGTACCTATCCCTTTAACTTTTCTGTGTCTATGAAAGTGATGTAAAATGCTGTGGATTGTTTTAATGTTGATTTGCTGTCTAAGAACAGGTATTGTGGAAATCTATTCTAGGGACTGTACTACAATAGCCATTATTCTTGAGGACAAATGGTTTAGGCTGGAAAAAGACATAAAGCATACGAAACTTGTCGTCTGATCTGGTTACCTGAATATTAACCAGTTGGTATTAACTTCCTTACCTCGTGTTAAATTTCTTAAATCGAAACTAGAATTGAAAAACTTCCTTAGGTCTACCTCGTGTTCAATTTCTTCAATCAAAACTAGAATTGAAAAACTTCCTTACATTGTGTTAAATTTTGTCAAATTGAAACTAGAATTTACGGTGTGATGAACAGCATGTACTCTGAAGAAAAACTCAGCAAGTGTCAGTGCGCGTATTTCATGTGTTTTAGTTTGTCTGTTTCTATGAAAGTGTGATATAAAATGCTGTGGATTGTTGTAATGTTGATGTTCTGTCTTCAAACAGGTATTGATGAAATCTCTCATTATGCATTTTAACAATTATTACAGCTTTCGAGTTCGATTATCTTTTGTTCGATTTTCATCAAATATTTTGTGTGTAAATTTTTCAAGTAGACTGCAGCAATCACGAATTTCTTTTAATTTTTATTAAATTATCATGAAACGTGGTAGATATGTAGAGGTTATCAATTGTGATTCCAAAAAAAACCCCAACGTTTTTCAAAGATTTACGGAAACCAAATGTCCGAAACTGTCTGAAAATCACAAAATCGGAGTTTTCGTACTATGTTTTGCTAAAACTTGCAAATTTGTAATTCCACAAAATTTGTACCATCAACATCTTCATTTTGTACCTTTGCAATATATACTAATTCTAAACCGTTTAGCCGCCATATTGAAAAATGCTAAAAATAGTAAAGATTTAAGGCATCTTTAATCCGATTGTTCTCAAATTTCTTTTGAAGTGTAAGTTGGAAAAATACCTCGGTCCTCTAGTCGCCTTTTTTTCACTTTGTCTTTGCATAATTTGCAATCAGTTCCTTTTTGATAAACCAAGTTCTGAAGGCTTATAGCTTTTGTACCTGACCCCCAGGTAAGAGGAGCTGACATGGAAAAGGCATGTAGTCGTTCGGATGGGACAATCTACCGAGGCCCTGTTTGCTACAGGCTGTGCACGTTAAAGATCCCTCTACAGTTGCACCCTGCATGGCGTTGCCCATCTTCATTAGTCCACATGGTGAATTTTTGTATCCTCGGGAGATTTTAAACTTTGACAACATTCAGTGTGATGTTATTACAATGTGCCTTTCATTGGCTTTCTAACGATTTCTTATATCTAAATATGCAGTTTTGAAAATAGGTGATTTTAATATTTAAAAGAACCGTTGTTTAAGTTCTAATTAACTTAGCGAAATGTTTAAAACAGTTTTCTGATGTACAAATTCACAGCTTTCACAAATAATATATATATAAAAAAAGTATCCAAGGATAGTGAATTTGGGGTTTGTTTATTTCATTGCTGGTTACATTGTAATCTATTGAGAAAAGGAAAAGAATCATACGAGTTCTACTTTAAGAGGAATCTCATACAATGGATATAAAAAGGAATAAACAATTGACATTTTCGGGGGTTGATTTATGTCTTGAATATATGTAAACAGTCTTCGCAGAAATACAACAACTGTACGAAAGGAGCAAATTTCCTTAAAATAATATACCTCGGACTAGAAATTCATTGGATTTATTTCCTTTTTTCTTTCACTGCAGTCATAAAATATCTGTTTTGTGCTCTGCTCATTTATGCGTGATATTTCTAAATTTCTTTCAATTATTGTATTGAATGAGGATGTGAGTCGGGGTCTATTTTTATTGTAATTTTATATGACATACTTAAAGCCATTTAAAAACATTAAGATATTTTTAACTGATATATTGAGAATGAATAAATGGATTGTATTTCTGTGTGTGGGGGTTGGGGGAGGGGGGGGGGGGTGCTGTGAATTATCAATCTAATCAAACTTCGTTTATGTTATTATTTCCTTTTTGTCGCTCTCCATTGTAATCCAACGAAATTTATCACGTACTGGTGATGTTGCAAGCTATTTATAGATGACAATCACGCGCCACTCTCCGACCAATGACCTTTACAATCGAGTGTCGGCAATCTCATTCAATGACATTCAATAGTTGGAGATTAACAACAAGTAGGCTTGATGCTGTTGTTGCAAAATTTCCCTTAGTGTACACTGCCCATCTTTATTAGCCCAATCAGGTTCAGGAATAAACACGGAGTTTAGTAAAATTACATTTCAGTTCAATTCTGTAATATTTTTTTCAGTTGTTTGTGAAGAGTGTGATAAAACAGAAATAATTGTTGGTCAACTTGGAAAGGAACTGGTGTTAATTTTTTTACTTTCTGATATCAGAGACGAGTATAACAAATATATCATTGAACGTGATAGTGTAAGAAAGTTTAAAGAAAGTGAAACTACGATCCAGGATCTCAAAAATGACTCAAATATTCGGTTTAGAAATAAGATGAATTCTAAAAATGAAGATATAATTTTTATACATGGTAAATCAAATAATCTGATCAGAAGTGGGACAGAAATCACCATGACTGATGATGCCTTCATGGTAAAAAAAACAAAACTACAAAAAGAAGATGCTGGAATATATTGGATCAATCTCGATTTAATTCATTTGGGACAGAAAGCTTTGATTATAGCAGGTAAGCAAATGGTGTAATTCTACAAGAATGCAGAGATAATAGTTCACTCTCCAAGATGAATACCAAGTGGATCCACCCAGTTGCAGAGTGGCATAAGGTGTCTCCGAAGATAGAGCATGATCACTACATTATTTAATACAGTAGAGCTCATTCAGAAAACCTTGATGAAAAAAACCCCAAAACAAATAGGCCCTACTAAGAATCTCAATGTAAAATGAAACACACAATCTAAAATTACAGTTTGGCAATACATTGGCTGATGAACTTTTCATATGATAGAGCATATCAATCATAAAAGGGAAAGAATATAATAAAGTTAAGTGGTATCAGGTGTCTTGAAGAGTAAGCATATCCTGTGTGGTGCCACATACTACATTGCTATTTTGTGTTTCAGGCAAACCCACAATTGAAGGACGATCTCCACCAAATCCTGTTTTAAAACCAGAAGATGACTATACTTCAATCTTACAACTAGAATGTCACAGTGTTTCAACCAGTATAGGAGATTGTCAACTGGTCAATAACTCTATGTATATAATGTGGTATAAAAATGGAATGAGAATGACTGAATTAGATCCAACGTTATCTCAAATTAACGTGACAGTAGACCATAATGGTGGATACTTTACGTGTCTGGCTACAGAATATCTCCCTTGTTATGAAAGACTACAGACCACAAAACATTTTGATGGTAAATATAATTGAATAATAATCTTAATCCATGACCAGTTTCATTTATAATATCCTGTTATATGATTTCTTTTGTAAGAATTTTTATTTAAATGTACAATATAATTGTAAATATAATGCGCATCCTTAATTACTATCGATCTTAACTTGACGAGCTAATAGAGCTCCAAGACCGTTGTTACTATCGATCTTAACTTGACGAGCTAATAGAGCTCCAAGACCGTTGTTACTATCGATCTTAACTTGACGAGCTAATAGAGCTCCAAGACCGTTGTTACTATCGATCTTAACTTGACGAGCTAATAGAGCTCCAAGACCGTTGTTACTATCGATCTTAACTTGACGAGCTAATAGAGCTCCAAGACCGTTGTTACTATCGATCTTAACTTGACGAGCTAATAGAGCTCCAAGACCGTTGTTACTATCGATCTTAACTTGACGAGCTAATAGAGCTCCAAGACCGTTGTTACTATCGATCTTAACTTGACGAGCTAATAGAGCTCCAAGACCGTTGTTACTATCGATCTTAACTTGACGAGCTAATAGAGCTCCAAGACCGTTGTTACTATCGATCTTAACTTGACGAGCTAATAGAGCTCCAAGACCGTTGTTACTATGTTTGTATAGATAATGTTGTCGAGTTAAAGAGATTGTAAATAGGTTTTATTAATTTTTTATGCATATCGAGGTCACTGATAGCATCAAGTTGCACCATCTGTGGTTCCTGCAATTTCACTAAAACTAGGTGTTTGATGACGTCACTAATTGTGAATAATGCTTTATTGCATAAAGCCCTTCGCGATAAGTGACGTCATCAAACACCTAGTTTTAGTTGAATTGCTAGAGCCATAGACGTCTGATTAAAAATTGAAATAGTGCAAATTGATGCTATCAGTGTCCTCGATGCACATACAAATAAAGCTTATATCATTATTTCTGAAGATTATTTTTTTGTTGAATTCAGATTTAATTTTATATTCAAATTTCTATGTATTTTGCAGTTATGAAGAAAATATTGCATAATTCAACTGTAATTTTGCATATAAAACCAAGATTGTTTTTTTTTGTAGTTTTGAATATTGAAGAGTGTGATAATGTCTCTGAGAGTAAAACCTTTTACTATAAACCTCAACGTAAGTTCATATTATTATTCCTCTATCATGATCATTGTTTGAAGGTGGCGCCGTTATGCTATGTTTGAGTATGTCCTTTTGTCATGCTACGAATTTTTTAATGATACAGTTTTTTACTTAATTTATTTTCAGATGCTCACATTAATGTGAAACTAGAGCCAGATCAAAGGGAGATAACTGTAAATAAAAATGAGGATTTAGAAGTAAGATGTTCAGCTAAGTGTCACCCAAAGTGCAATGTGACATGGGAAAAAGATTTTCAAGTCCTTGAATCAAATGGTTTGTTTTTCATAACCGAGAATTGGTTTGGAAAAGATTTGAAAATTGTGAGCATCAACAGTTCTCATGAAGGTGTTTACGTCTGTCTTGTCAACAACACTCATGGAAAAGCAAAGAAGGGATTTACTTTAAGTGTTACAGGTATGTGCTTATAAATATCCAACATTTTACAGTGGATAGTTTCTGTTCCTCAATACACTCACATTTGACATGAAATGGTCTCAGACTATCTGATCCTGTACCAGTGATTTTTATTACTGATCCTGTATCAATGATCTTGTACAAGTGATCCTGTACCAGTGATCCTTTACCTGTGACCCTTTACCAGTGATCCTGTACCAGTGATCCTTCACTAGTGATCCTGTACCAGTGATCCTTCACTAGTGGTCGTATCAGTGATTCTTTACCATTGATCCTTACCAATGATCGTATTAGTGATTCTGTACTACTGATCCTGTATCATTGATAATTTACCAGTGATCATTTACTAGTGATCTTTATTAGTGATCCTGTATCAGTGATCTCTCACAAGTGATCCTGTACCAGTGATCCAGTACTAGTAAATTTTACCGGTGATTTTTACCAGTGATACTTTGTGATTCTGTATCACTGTATTAGCGATCCTATGATAGTGATCCTTTACCATTGATCCTTTGCCAGTGATTCTGCACTAGTGATCTCGTAAACAAACCCAATTATTTTGACCAATTTGCCCAAACTTATGGACATAAACAATCCAAACTTTTGTCAGAATGACCCCTACAAAACGTCGAAAGTCATACAGGAGAATGTTCTGACAAGTCCCTACAATTACTATTTTGATATCAACAAAAAAAAAATTGTTTTCAATTTATATAAATGATATAAGATGTCACATACGATTATTTGCAGACGACACCAGTCTATATCTGAAACTCGATAAAAACTAAAACACCAGCACTGAACAAAATCCAGTTTTACCTAGATTGAAATTAGACAATGTGTCAGTTGATTTTTATAAATATTTAGATTGGACCCATCGCATGGTTTACTAAATAAAATCTTCTCGCCAATAAGTCAATACTGATCATTCCTAAAGCGGTTTTATAAAAAAAAATTTCAGATGTTTCAAATGGTGCAGAACTAGTGCCAGACGAAAAGGAGAGAACTGTCAGTAAAGGTGAGGATTTGAAAGGTATTTTGAGTTGTTGTAAGTGAGGTTCTTCTGATCCCAGAACTGTAACAACTGGTGTTCCGCAGGGCTCCGTCCTTGATCCTTTATTGTATTTAATTAATATAAATGATATTGTCAATAATTAAAGATCCAACATACGACTATTTTCAGACGACACCTGTCTATATTTGAATATTAATGACCCCACAGCTAGTGCGAATGTCCTTAACGAATTAACATTTGGACAACTCTCTGAAAACTGAAACACTAGCACTAAACAAATCCAATTTAACATAAATCTTCGATTATTGTGATGTCAAATGGGATAGGTGCACTGCAAAACTAAAAGACGTCTTAGAAAATCTTCAGTTAGACGCACTCAGGACTAAAAGTTACCAAAACTGAACCCCTGAATACCTAAATAATCAGATACAATTAAATGATAACCATGCATACAACCTGAGAAATACTAATGATTTATTCGAATACAATTTAAGGATAGAATTATGTTATAAATCCTTATAATACCAGTGATCCTTGTGATACCAGTGATCCTTATAATACCAGTGATCCTTATAATACCAGTGATCCTTTTAATACCAGTGATCCTTGTGATACCAGTGATCCTTATAATACCAGTGATCCTTATAATACCAATGATCCTGCACCAATGATCCGGTACCAAATGTCCTCAATTACGCTAATCCACTTTACACTCTGACTTTTATCTTTTTCAGAAGCTGAGAACAAAGTATTAATTCTGAAATATTTAACAAAGGTTGTAGTTGGTGTTGTTGTTGTAATAGCTGCTTTCTTTACTGCTATTGTAGTAGCTGTTATTGTCGTTGTTATTATAGTTATCATATACAAGAAATATCAGAGTAAGTCATTAATTATTATTCGAGTTGTTATTGTTATTGTCGTTGTTATTATAGTTATCATATACAAGAAATATCAGAGTAAGTCATTAATTATTATTCGAGTTGTTATTGTAGTTGTTATTATAGTTAACATATGTATAATAAATATCACAGTAAGTCATTAACTGTTTGTGGGCTAACTTTGTGTAATTTCGAAGGTCTGTGATCCTCTGAGAGAGATGGTATTTCTACTTCCTCCACAATCCATCAAGTACTAGCTGTAGCTAAAACATGTTTCTTTCATTTTTCAGAAAAGAAAAATTACTATCTTAATGTAATACCCGAAGAAAGGTCATCAGGAGAAGGTTGGTTGGCTTTTTGGGGTTTGGTTTGGTGTTTTGGGAAACGTAGGACGGTTTGGCGATGGAGGAATGGGGGAGAAAGAACTTTTAAGTTGGCTCAAGTGACGGATGACTTAAAATATATTATTGACCCCATCGCAGTGGATATGGATCGAAGGACCCCTTATTAAGAAAACGATGGGCAACTGAAATTGTTCAAGATATCTAACAATGTTGGATAATCACGTTCATCTCTTCCATTCACTTGATCTGATCTTGTCCAGAATCGTCTGTTCCAAAATACACTGTACGAGATTAAAGAGATTTAAACTTGACTCAGAATTAATGATTTGATTGAACTCCTTTTGAATTGACATACGTTTCCAGTTCATGAAATACTATCTTTTGGTGCAACATATGATCAACAATTTAAAGAATTAATTTTGGTTATTTACAGACGAATTAATGGATGAATCTTTACCAGGACATATAAGAGATGAAGATGATTATGAATTAATGGAGTTGCATCAGGTTGAATTGTTACCAGGAAACTTAAGAGATGAAGGTGATAATGAATCAATGGAGTCGCATCAGGTTGAATTGTTACCAGGAAACTTAAGAGATGAAGGTGATAATGAATCAATGGAGTTGCATCAGGTTGAATTGTTACCAGGAACATCCAGAGACAATTCCAGAAATGGTGAACAAAACAACGTAAGTACACTTGTTGCCAAACTTAAAGGGACAGATGCGCCATTCTTATTGACCAATCATACTTTAGTCTCAGAAACGGGAATTTTTTAAGCCACGCCAACCAGTAATCGTGTTCGCAGCTCAACGTCGAAACTTGAGCCTTCAAATACACGCGTGTGCAGAAATATCCGCGTTTGAATGTTAAAATGACGACTCGTGTTCAAAATTCAGCTGAATACAGTAGTATCGAGAATAATGTGAAAAGAAAGAGTCTTACAGTTTCTATCATTTTTTTAATAATCCGGTCTATATGTGTTTCAGAATCCAGAAAATGGTACATATGCTTCATTAGAGATCAATACTTCCAATGTTAACAGACTTCATGATCCTGAAGATGGCTATACTAGACTTACCAAGAAACACCGCCGAGACTCCATGCAATGGTATCGGATTCTGCTGAGGAAGAAGATCGCAAAGGAAGTGTTTCGTGACAACTAACTGAGGCTCATTCTTCCTGTACACTTGGTACCACTTTGTGACTGGGTTTATCAACTCTGTATTGGCTTTGTATAACCGTTAGAACTACTGATGTTAAATTGGACAGAAGGTGAAATGAAATGTTCAGTCAATCTCAGTGAACTTGATGTTTTGTATATATTATTCTTCCAATAAAATGTTCATATTCTTCTGTGACATAAAAGGTAAAAGTCGAGAAAAATGTTTAAACATACCAAATTGTCTGTTAAAAAGTTTTGTCTCCCATAAGGAATAATTCTTAGATATTCATTGTTTCACACTGCATTATATGATCGTTCTATATTTTAGACATTTCTTATATTGCTTGAACACAATTTTCAGAAGAATTCCTAAGATCACGGATTGCGAGTGTAGTAAACCCAGAGAATTTAGAATGTTCGGCTTTTAAGCTTTTTTTTGATCGATTATCATCTTTCATTATACTTTTATCATTCATATTTTACCGTTGTTTTTAATTCTTTTTTTATATCCTGGTCTGATGCTTTTAATAAAGTTTTAGATACAAAACCTGGTTTAGTTTCTATTTCTATTCTCAAGATTATGACATCACTGCCACTATTCAGAATACAAAAATAGAACCTGAAACATGTTGTTACTCAAGCTGAACTATCAGGTTAACTGACTTGAAAACAACATGTTTCAGGTTTTGTTTAAATATTTCTATATCGCTCTACAATTGATGTATTGAGCACTATTTTAACAGTAGTATTTCTATATCACTCTACAATTGATGTATTGAGCACTATTTTAACAGTAGTATTTCTATATCACTCTACAATTGATGTATTGAGCACTATTTTAACAGTAGTATTTCTATATCGCTCTACAATTGATGTATTGAGCACTATTTTAACAGTAGTATTTCTATATCGCTCTACAATTGATGTATTGAGCACTATTTTAACAGTGGTATTTCTATATCGCTCAACAATTGATGTATCGAGCACTATTTTAACAGTGGTATTTCTATATCACTCTACAATTGATGTATTGAGCACTATTTTAACAGTAGTATTTCTATATCACTCTACAATTGATGTATTGAGCACTATTTTAACAGTGGCATTTCTATATCACTCTACAATTGATGTATTGAGCACTATTGTAACAGTGGTATTTCTATATCACTCTACAATTGATGTATTGAGCACTATTTTAACAGTGTATTTCGATATCACTCTACAATTGATGTATTGAGCACTATTTTAACAGTGGTATTTCTATATCACTCTACAATTGATGTATTGAGCACTATTTTAACAGTGGCATTTCTATATCACTCTACAATTGATGTATTGAGCACTATACAATTGATGTATTGAGCACTATTTTAACAGTGGTATTTCTATATCACCCAATATATTTGGATATTGACTACCTTCTAGGCTATTTCTTGATTATCCAGCCATATGAAAATACTATTTCTTGATTATCCAGCCATATGAAAATAAATTCAAGGAAATTGAAACTAGAATTTATTGATATATTGTGTCGAACAGCATGCCCTCTAAAGGAAAACTTAAATAGTGTTAACGGTCCAGGGTTGAATTCATGTGTTTTAATTTGTCTGTTTCTATGAAAGTGATATAAAATGCTGTGGATTGTTGTAATGCTGGTTTGCTGTCTTCAAACAGGTATTGTTGAAATCTATTACAGTCGAGAGCCAAGAGCAAATACCAGCGCACTTTCTCACCTTAGAATCACTCAAAAAATTCACTCGTGTGCCCGTTCCTGTCGACGGATTCATATACCCGTATTAAGGGGACCGCTCGTTCTCGTCGACAACAATACTGGGGAATTTAGATATAGAAACATGGGACACAAATTTTAAACTGTTGAAATTCGAAAAGATGCATATATTTAAAGTATAATGACTACAAAAAACAATTAAACATCGAGACCTGTATTTTAATCAGATTAGTAACATTAAGGAAATAATACAGTCATTTAAACATCAGTTTCAGAACGGGCCTCTCTGTTATATTATCTAGCTAGGGTCTCTATACCCTTCAAACATCTGAATGATATAAAATACATTTTACACATTCATGGTAATAATTCAATAATCTTTTTGGGAAGATAAAAAGGTCAAATCGTTTTTACCATATGAAAGAGATCTAACATGGGTACAGTTTCACCAATGATTCAGAAAAAGAAGGTTTCATTAACATTTTACATTAAAATCTTTTATTAGGCCATAATGACATAATATATTGATGAATCTAAAGCGTTGGATTCTTAAAGGTACAGGTTCTCCATTTTAGGGGGTTGATTTGGGTTTTGAAAATATATGTGGATAGTACTAGAATTATACGAAAATCACATAGTGCCTTCAAGTAAACCTAGACATTTCACTTTCTATTTATATAATGTATATGTTTTTTCTATATAGCAAAGTCATTTTAACTTTCAAACGTAGATAATTCTGAAGACCTATGGATTTAAAGGCTCTAATTTCGATGGACTGATAAACTTAGCTAAACAATTCTCGTTCCTAAGACTAAGGTACTATCGGTGAAACAGAATCTATCCCTCTAACCTAGGATTTTATTGTTAGAAAAAACTTTTAAAAGTTTTAACTATAACTGTTGATGAGGAATGAAAAAGAACGAGACCCGTGGGCTGTACACCTCTATAACTGGAAATTGAAAACAAGTTGACTTAAGGTGGAAGAAGACGAGGTGAAGTGTCTCGTAGTGGATTATCGATACAATAGAATGGTGTACAAACCCGTAAATATTTCGCCATCGAATCCCGAATACTGGTTTTGACATTGTCTTATTAACCCGTATTAAACTAAACCCACTACACTTCGTTTTGTGGGCGTGGAAATGAGATTGGTACTATTTATATCTGACCAATCAGCACACAGTTAAGGTAGAATAGAGTAATGGTAACAGTAATGGTTTGATTTTCTGCCAGCTTCAATTCTTTGCCGAAATTCTTACTCAATTCTGTATTGTCCATATTAATCAAAACATTTATGACACACTGCTTTTGTTTTGTTTGCGTTCGCGAAGAAAGCGTCTAAAACGAGTGAATTTATTTGATTGGTTGAGATTACCTAGAAAGATGTTTGATTGGACAATATTTTTCTATGAATACGTAATTTCCCACACTTATATTACCACGGCCTCGAGGAAGTTTGACGAACGGGTGTGTGGTTTTGATACGATGATACCTCGTGTGTTCACTTCGTATATTTTCTACTGTATCTATAATCCCAGATTTTCACTCAGGAACAGTGGCTTTTCTAGGAAACATCAGATGATGGGCCGAGCAGGGGCTACAAAATGTTCCAGGTGAGGGGGGAGGGGGACCACAGGCTATTCTTTCACTATATAAAATGATAAAAAAATTGAAAGTTGGGGAGCCAAAGCCGGGTCAGTCACTTTCATTTTTTGTGACGTTCTATAACACAGTTGGTTCTTAATATGACGTCGTTTGCATGGTTACGTCGAGCACATGGTGGCTGTGGGTTCCGATCTCGATCGGCGTGTGATAGTCCGGTGACCTTGAATAAGTCATCTTCACTCATAATTCCAGCTGTAAATGGGTATGGGAAAGATCAATGCAAAGAGGTTTGTCCAAGGACCAGCTGGTAGAAAGGATCCTTAAAGATGGGTTTCCTTATTTTTTAGTGTCAAATTAAGCAAACTATTTGATTAATTGGTGTTTCTAATGAATTATCATGTATTTAGAAATCATATCATAATTAAGCATAAATGTCCATGTATGTACAGTCTGGATAAACAAACAAAAAAGACTTTTGACCTTTCTTGATCGGTCACTCATTCTAATTCTGCTGGTAATTCTCTTCTATTTTAGCTAATTATGAATTAATTATGGACATGTGAGACAAATTGGTATTTTTCCAAGTCATTAGAACAACTCTACTTTCTATTCATATAAACATTAGCAATTTCATTTCATGAATGAAAATAAGGGAACCCACCTTTAACTGTAAAATATAGTTGTTTCTTTCTTTCCATATAAACGGCACTGCGCAGGAAAAATGACGTAAAACACAATTTCAATACAAATTTCTTAAAATATATAATATATACATATACACTGAAAATCATGTATATTTAATTTTTTTCAGTTGAAAGCAAAGATTGCAAGAATACAAAAATAATTGTTGGTCGACTTGGAAAGGAACTGGTGTTAAATTTTTCACTTTCTGATCTCAGAGACGAGTATAACAAATATATCACTGAACATGATGGAAAGAAGACCATCCAAAACGAATTTCAGATTCTAGATCTTAAGAGAGGTTTAGCTATTCTGTTTAAAAATAAGATGGATTCTAAGAAAAATCAAACAATTTATATTGATGGTAATTTAACGTCTTTTGCCAATGGCTTTGCAAAAATCTTCCTGACCAATGATGCCATCATTGTAAAAAAGACAAAACTACAAAAAGAAGATGCTGGAATATATTGGATAGATTTCCATTCATTTCATTTGGGACAGAAAGCTTTAATTATCGCAGGTTAGTAATTAGTTTGATTTAAAGGGACAAGTTGGCAATCCATTCGCTATCCGTTCGTCATCCGTCTGCTCGGCTAGCTACAACCCCACAGTATATGTTTTATACTTTTTAAAACAAATTGTGTTTAAGGTAAACCTACAATTGAAGGACGATCTCCACCAAATCCTGTTTTAAAACCAGAAGATGACTATACTTCAATCTTACAACTAGAATGTCACAGTGTTTCAACCAGTATAGGAGTTTGTCACCTGGTCAATAACTGTATGTATATAATGTGGTATAAAAATGGAATGAGAATGACTGAATTAGATCCAACTTTATCTCAAATTAACGTGACTGTAGACCATAATGGTGGAAACTTTACGTGTCTGGCTACAGAATATCTCCCTTGTTATGAAAGACTACAGACCACAAAACATTATGATGGTAAATATAATTGAATAATAATCTTAATCCATGACCAGTTTCATTTATAATATCCTGTTATATGATTTCTTTTGTAAGAACTTTTATTTAAATGTACAATATAATATTGTAAATATAATGCGCATCCTTAATTACTATCGATCTTAACTTGACAAGCTAATAGAGCTCCAAGACCGTTGTTACTATCGATCTTAACTTGACGAGCTAATAGAGCTCCAAGACCGTTGTTACTATCGATCTTAACTTGACGAGCTAATAGAGCTCCAAGACCGTTGTTACTATCGATCTTAACTTGACGAGCTAATAGAGCTCCAAGACCGTTGTTACTATCGATCTTAACTTGACGAGCTAATAGAGCTCCAAGACCGTTGCTACTATCGATCTTAACTTGACGAGCTAATAGAGCTCCAAGACCGTTGTTACTATCGATCTTAACTTGACGAGCTAATAGAGCTCCAAGACCGTTGTTACTATCGATCTTAACTTGACGAGCTAATAGAGCTCCAAGACCGTTGTTACTATCGATCTTAACTTGACGAGCTAATAGAGCTCCAAGACCGTTGTTACTATCGATCTTAACTTTACGGGCTAATAGAGCTCCAAGACCGTTGTTACTATCGATCTTAACTTGACGAGCTAATAGAGCTCCAAGACCGTTGTCACAATGTTGATAATGTTGTCGAGTTAATGAAAATAAAGTTTATATATTTTTTATTTCTGAAAACTTTTCAAATATTTTTTGTTGAATTCTGAATTAAATTTTGCATATAAAACCAAGATTGTTTTTTTTTGTAGTTTTGAATATTGAAGAGTGTGATAATGTTTCTGAGAGTAAAACCTTTTACTATAAACCTCAACGTAAGTTCATATTATTATTCCTAGATCATGAACATAGTTTGAAGGTGGCGCTGTTGTGCTATGTGGTGGCTTATATTGCTCAAACACTAAAGTACAATTTTGAAATGTTAACCATCATTTTCGGCAGCGTAAGATGAGATCTAGGCCAATAAAAAAGTTATAGTCAAAAAAAAGCCATCGCTAAAACTAGTAATCTAACTATGTCTGTGTATCTTCTCTTGTCTTGCTACCAATTTTCAATAATTTAGTTTTTACATAATTTTTAGATGCACCCATTAATGTAGAACTAGAGCCAGATCAAAGGGAGATAACTGTAAATGAAACTGACGATTTGGAAGTAAGATGTTCAGCTAAGTGTCACCCAAAATGCGATTTAACATGGGAGAAACATTTTCAAATCCTTGGATCAAATGGTTTGATTAACTTAACAGAGAATATATTGGTCGAAAATGATTTGAAAATTGTAAACATCAGCAGTTTTCATGAAGGTGTTTACGTCTGTCTTGTCAACAACACTCATGGAAAAGCAAAGAAGGGATTTACTTTAAGTGTTACAGGTATGTGCTTATAAATATCCAACATTTTACAGTGGATAGTTTCTGTTCCTCAATACACTGACATTTGACATGAAACGGTAACAAATACTTTGATCCTGTACCAGTGATATTTCTAGTGATCATGTTCTAGCGATCCTGTGCCAGTGATCCCATTCTAGCGATCCTGTACAAGTGATCCTGTTCCAATAATCCGGTTCTAGTGATTTGTTACCAGTAATCCTGTATCAATGATCCTGTACTAGTGATCATGTGCCAGTGATTCTTTACCAGTGACCCTATACTACATTACTAGTGATCCTGCTCTAGTGATCCTGTACCAGTGATACTGTACCAGTGAATCTGTTCTAATGATCATGTACCTGTGACCCTGTTCAAGTGATCCTATACCAGTGATCTTGTTCTAGTTATCCTGAGCCAGTGATCCTGTACCAGTGAATCTGTTCTAATGATCCTGTATCTATGATTTAATAGTAAATCTTTATCTTTATCGAACTAAATAAAATTGAAATCCAATATTCAACTTGTCTCTTTTTCAGAAACTGAAACGAAAGCAGCGCTGAATAATGTGATTGGTACTGTAAGATTTGTTATTAATTTTGTTTTTGGTTTTGTTATTGTTGTAGCTGCTACAGTTATTTTTATTGTTATACCTGTTATGGTAGTTATCTGGCACGAGAAATATCAAAGTAAGTAAAATGCAGATTACATAAGAGGCCTAACCTTTCCAGCAGTGTCTGTTTTCAAGCCTACTTACAACAAGGTCCAGTATCTGAGTAAGATGGCATTTCAGTGGTCAGGCATTTTAAGTAAGGGTGCGGGCACACGAACGCTCTTGGTCGGCGATTTTTGTCGCTGATTATAGTCTTGTCGTGAGTTTCGCTTACCGGCTGCGGGTGTATGAGAAGACAAAATCTCCAGTTGGTCGTTTTCCACTATATCGATAATCACGACATGACCATGCAATTGAAAGGAAAATGAATTTGAGTGGATCTCTTGCAGACGATAAAATAATCGACGACAAATATCAAACTTGTTTAATATTATGAAACCTGTCAGAGTCGCAATAATCTTGTCGTGGAATACGAGCACACTCGTGATTTTACTCAAGATTCGAATCGGCGACAAAAATCTGTGCCTACACCTTAACATTAGTCACGAAAGAAGACTCATAATAGAGGGAGAACTGTTACTGTATAATTGCGAATACAATGCGCATGCTTGTGTAATGCGCACCATCTTAAAATCATGTAAGGCATGTTGTCTTTATGCAATATAAATATCCTCGTACAGTTATTACAAATGGCCTTATGTTATCATTAATATCTTTATACGTTGTCAAGAATGTCCTGGAAGAGAGATATTTACTCTGAGGTTTTATATAGATTTAGGTGATTATTACACGGTAATAGAAAAACATGTTTGTTTTTCCAGTAAAGAAAATTGACTATCATATTGAGGTACCCGATGAAAGTTCATCAACAGAAGGTAGTTCATTTTTATAAGTTTAAAATTAGATTGGGCTTTGGAGGTTGGGTATTTCTGACTACAGGGTGGTCATTTGATCGAGTTTACGATTAACCAATCAAATTGGTTTTATCTCAGTTAGTACATTGTGAAAAAGGCCAGTGGTGTTTTAAATGATATCCGAGCTTTAAATGTTTCAATGTGATTTCTGATATTTAAAGATTTAATTTTTGTTAAATTACAGATGAAGCTATTTATGAAACAATAGATGAATTGCTACCGGTAACATCCAGAGACAATATTTCTACAAATGATATTCTCGAAACATCCAGAGACAATATTTTCATAAATGGTGTACTGGAAACATCCAGAGATAATAATTTCAGATATGGTGTACCAGGAACATCCAGAGATAATAATTTCAGATATGGTGTACCAGGAACATCCAGAGACGATAATTTCAGAAATGATGTACCAGGAACATCCAGAGACAATAATTTCAGAAATGATGTACCAGGAACATCCAGAGACAATAATTTCAGAAATGATGTACCAGGAACATCCAGAGACGATAATGTCAGAAATGATGTACCAGGAACATCCAGAGACAATAATTTCAGAAATGATGTACCAGGAACATCCAGAGACAATAATTTCAGATATTGTCTACCAGGAACATCCAGAGACAGAAATGATGTACCAGGAACATCCAGAGATAATATGTCCAGAAATAGTATCCAAAACATGGTAAGTATAATATACAGATATTATTTGTTATCAAGTGTAGATTTCCCAGGTTAGATCTTGTCCTCTAGATTGTTTCATGGCTAGTTGGCCAACTAATGTTTCTAACCTGGCATTTTCTTTGTTCAGCTCACTTCCTTTCCTGTCTGATGAAAATTCAGCTTTAGATTGTTTCATGGCTAGTTGGCTAACTAATGTTTTGTTGGATTCCATTCTGGCAATTTTTCTTTTTTAGTTCTGTTCTTCTTTGTCACAGTCTGATGAAAATTCAGATGTAGATGTTTTGTTACCTTCACTAGCCAACCATGATCTGACAGAATTATCACATAGCCCATGTTCTAGATCGTCAAAATATTCACCTAATCAAATGCTCTGTTCAATTTTACATTTTTCAGATTTACATGTGATTTTGTTGCAGGATTCAGAAAATGATATATATGATTTATTAGAATTCAATACTTTGGATGGTCAAAGGCCAGATCCTGAAGATGACTATAGTAGACTTTCCAAAGTTTTGGAACTGGGGGAAGTTAAGTTGAAATGCAGTCTTTTATGAACTGGATTCTGATGAGGAAGCAAAGGATTTGTTTCATACAAAACTTAATGAGGCAGGCTTATCCTTCTTCTTGTACATATGTATTCTATATCGACGGAACATCTAACCTACATCTAACATGTTGTTTTAAACCTTTGGTGAAAATGTGACTGAACATGAATTTCAGAGGAATTCCTTCAGATCGTGGATTGTGAATGAAGTAACCCATAGACCCAAAAGAATTGAGTTTATTTTATTTTTTGTTTTCAGTTTTAAGCTTTTTTTGTTACGAATCTATTGAGAATTCTATTTTTATATCTTAAACTGTTGCTTTTAATAAAATGATTAGAAATAAATCGTGGTTTGATTTCTATTTCCATTCTCACTCTTTGACAAAATTATGACGTCACTATCACTAATACCATTTAGCTAGATATTTATAAAGATACAATAGATATCAGGCAGAAACCTTTGGTGAATTTGATGAATGTTCATGGTCTGATTGAAATTTGAACCTATCTGTCTTTTAGATTATCGATCAATTTGATGGATTTGAAGTTTTAGAATAAACCGAACAGTAGAACCAAATAAAAAAAAAGACAAACCAAATACAAAACAGATGTACCAAATACAAAACAGATGTACCAAATACAAAACAGATGTACCAAATACAAAACAGATGAACCAAATACAAAGCAGATGTACCAAATACAAAACACATATTACAAATTACAGTAACACAGGAACAACCGAAGGATTTTGCGATGCACGTGCATGGGTGGCTCCCATCCGTACCATTCTCAGAGCTTGTTCGCGTTGTTGCTGTGTCAGTCATGTGTGTTTCTTTTCATCGTTGTGTAAGCCCTACATGCTATTCAACCCGTTTTTAAACTCTTGGTGCACATGCTTTTTTGAGATTTTTGCTCGGGTATAATTCCTATAAATGTTATTGTTGTGTATGGGCAATATAATTTAGATGGATATATTTGTAGTTAAAATTAACTTTTTGGCCTTCATTATTCACTCGACATCGAGATCTGCATTTTAATAAGACTAGTCAACCATAAGGAAATAATGCAGTCATTTGAACACCAGTTTCAGAACGGGGTTTCTGTTATATTATCTACCTAGGGTATCTTATATTATATAGCTAGGGATAGCTATAGCTCTATTCCATTCAAACATCAGAGTGACATTCTAACCGGAAGTTGAATCATTGACCAATTCATGAGTCTTGAATAGGGCACAGTCTAACAAAGAAGTGAGGACTGGTTTTATTACAGATATATACAATGTGCTAAGACCATTTTGCTCTAAAATATTTTTGAATGGACCTGATAATGTGCTAATAAAAATGATTAAAACTGGATTCGAAACTAGGTATTTTTTTCAAATATGGTCAAGACAATACCTTGAATTTTGGACTCGGTTTGCCCCTTGTCAGTGATGCAGGTAGGAGGGGCTGACATGAAAAAAAAATCGAGTAGTTCGGATGGGACAACAAACCGTGCTACAAGCTGTGCACGTTAAAAGATCCTTCGACAGTTCCCCGTTGCACACTTCATTAGAGCATACGGTGCAGAAAAGTAGGAAGTAATACTCCATTCATCTCCATTCCCTTGCATGGGCATGCTGATGACAGGACCCGTGTGCTGTGAACCTCATTAGCTTTACTGACAATATTTCCCTCAGTGTAAACAGTCCATCTTTATAAGACCGACAAGGTACA